CTCTGGTATTTTGTTATGGCAGTCCTAGAAGACGAGTACAATAAGCTTATGAAAAGATGCTTATGAAAATGGCATACCAATTCCCCACGCACTAGAAGGCCTTAAGATGAAAAAGACTGACAATATCAAGTGTAACAAAGATGTCAAACAACTGGAACTTTCTCACAACAGCAGTGGGAGTGTAAAATGGTGCAAGTACTACAGAAAAAAGTTTGGCAATTTCTTATAAACACATATTATAGCTATATTATATATAGCTAGCAATTAAGTTCCTACCTAGGCATTTAACCAAGAGAACTGAAAACAAATGTTCAGCAAAAGACTTGGACATGAGTGGTCATGGAATTTTATTTATTAGAACCCCAAACTAAAAACAACCTAACTGTCCATCAACTAATGAATAAACAAACTATTTGTGGTACTCCACAGAATACTACTCAGTAATAAAATTAACACATTAAATATCAGAAAAAATTTAAAAATTTAAAATTTAAAAAGAGCATATATTCTATCATTCCATTTATATGAAATTCTAGAAACAGCAGCTCTAATCTAGACATACAGAAGCAAATTAGTGGTTTCCTTGGAGCTGGGGCTGTTTGGGGACAGGGAGTGGGGCTGAATGCAAAGGGGTACAAGGGAACTTTCTGGGGTGGTGTAAATCTGGGATGGTTCCAGATCTTCACTGTGGTGCTGGCTAGTTACTCAGGTACCTAAGTTTGCCAAAGCTGTCTAATTCAAAAATAGATACATTTTATTGTATGCAAATTCTAGATCATTGAAATTAGTTTTTAAAAAATCAGGCCGACCCTCTATAGTAGTGGTTTTCAACCTGTGGGTTGTGACTCACAGGAACTGTATTAAAGGCCCATGGCATTAGGAAGGTTGAGAACCACTGTTCTATAGGATTTAAACTAAAGAACCGAGAGAATATAAGGCCTTCATAAACAGAAGGAGAAGAGAGCAGTTGCTCAGAGTATTCACTACTAACTACTGAGGGAGAAGTCGGCCACTAAGTGGCTTCAGATTTTCTGGCTAGTTCTACACCACCTAGAGCACAATAAATCTTCCTTTATGTAAGATGGTGCCCTGAGAAGACCCTTGTTTCTTATAAGTAAAGGAAACCAACAAAACACCTGGCTACTTAAAGTTTCTGAATTTCTATTTTGGTTCATCCAATAGAGGCTGGCACATAGTAAATCTTGAGCAAAGACTTACTGAAAGCAGAAAAGATGTACTGGTAACAGCATTATCAGTCATACATACCTTGCTGATCTGAATTAACTTTTTACATAAAAAAAAAAGTTGTATTTAAAAAATTAAATAATTTTAAAATAATTTTTAAAAACCCTGTAAACAAAGTCCCTTTTATAAAATATAGGGTAACTCACTGTAAAAACAAATCTAGAAAATAAATTAGTATGGCAACACAAATGTAAGAGTACCAGTGAAGATAAGCCATTTATTTTAAAAGCATTTAACAATTTACAGTCATATTATAAGAAACTGGCTTTGCTAATGGATACATAAATTCTTTATGTCTGATTTTTTGATAGAACCCAGTGAAAATGACTCAGAGAAAATAGCAACCATAGAGCTAAAATGTGAATGAAGCTGGAGGCAGGAAAGGACCACACACCATGAAATGTAAACAGAGGAGAAAAAAGCTAGATGCCAGACAGGAAGAGAAGAACCAGGAGAACAGGCTTTACAAACAGAGGTAAACGCAGCTAAGGCTGAAATAAGAAATCTGATAGTTTTAAAGGAAAAAACAATTTGAGTAATCAATTACTCCTTAACATGCACAAAAGTTCTGCAGAACAGGTAAATATAACTCCTCAAGGTGCATTTTTGAACTATGCTCAACCTTTGGGAATCTTGCCTTCAATAACTGGTGCTTTACGTCAGAGCAAGCCACCTCTCTACAAAAGCAAAAATTTTTTTCTCAAATAATTAGATTAGGTCTGCTGCCACTAATTAAAACGGTGAATATATCATCCCTCAGCACTCTCTTACATTCTTAGAAAAAAAACTATAATGTTTGACTGGGATGGTAAAATTAACTTAATGGAGTTCAAAGATAAGACAGGCTTTTAGAGGAAAGAACAAGCTATTCTGTACATGTAAGACAATTTTGTTTTATAGTTAGGAATTTTAAAGAATTATTACTCCAAGTTTTATAATGATCATATAGACCTATTTTGATTTTGGCATTTATTCACTAAGAGCTCTTTCTTGTTACATTATGAGATGAAGCAAACTTAAAAAAAAAAACAACTAACTGCTAAAGTAAGGAACAAATACATTTATAATTATACCATACAATTTTCTTCTTTTACTACTTGGATAAAGAAGGCTGTGTCATCTTCAGTTTACTCCGATTATTTACTCAGTAATCTTATTAACACTACTGGGCATTTGTCTCAAGAATAAAGACAAAAAATTAGAATTAAAAACTTAAAACTGTCCAATGACAGGAGATAAACTGACAGCAGAATAAGTATTTTAAAAATTTCTAATGTGTAATTCAATACAAATGCTTACTATATGCAAAACCTCATGCTAAATCTTATAATGAATAAAAAGAAGTATAAAAAATAATCACTTCTACATTGCTGGTGGGAATGCAGATTAATACGTTCCTTTTGGAAAGATGTCTGGAGAACACTTAGAGAACTAAAAATAGACCTGCCATTCGATCCTACAATTCCATTATTAGGTATATACCCAGAAGATAAAAAATTCACATTACAATAAAGATGTTTGTATCAGAATGTTTATTGCAGCCCAATTCATAATTGCCAGATCATGGAAGAAGCCCAAGTGCCCATCAATCCACGAATGGATCAATAAACTGTGGTATATGTACACCATGGAATACTATGCAGCCCTAAAGAAAAACAGAGACTTTACCTCCTTCATGTTTACATGGATGGAACTGAAAAATGTTCTTCTGAGCAAAGTATCACAGGAATGGAAGAAAAAGTATCCAATGTACACAGCCCTTTTAAGAAACTAATTTATAGCTCTCAAATGAAAGATACAACTTAAATCTAGCCCAAGAATATGGGGAGGGGAGAAAGGTGGCTGGGTGGTGGGAGAGTGACCGGAAAGATCACCTATATATCTGTCTAACAAGGGTACAAGTGAACTTTTCTAGAACTAGAATATAAATGTTTTGACACAATGACTAAGCAAATGACATGAAATCTATGTGAACCAGCTTGATGAAAGTATTTCAAATTGTATATGAAAACACTACATTGTACCCCATGTTTGCATTAATGTATACAGCTATCATTTAATAAAAAAATAAAGAAAAAAAATAATCCCTGTTCTTAAGGATCTTAAAATTATAAGGGAAGTGAAGCTATATACATAATGCAACACATATGTACACACAATATGCATGTATGTAATATGTATACAAAATATACACATAATAAAGACAGTATATACTAACGTGCCATAAAAGTAATATAAATTGAACAAGGCTCTCCAGCGTATGATCAGCGAGTAGTTCATGCAAGAAACAATTTGACTTGAAGGAGAAAAGGAAAGGTAGGGTGGAGGATATGATGAAATTCCATGCTGATGAAATATCATACACTAAAAGTAAGGAAGTGAGAAACAATAAGAAAGGAAATGTTCTCAAAATTTCTCATGAACACATACTCCTGGGGGCTGGGAAGCACAGCCCAAAGCTCAAGATTTCTATGACAACTACTTGTATCTTAAAAATAATATAAAATTTATGTTTACTACTATTATGCATTTATGCTTATTTTAATATAAAGATATAACATTTTTCCACTCAAAATTTTCCAGTAAAACTAATTCTCCAAGAAGATAGGCTGTGTGATTAAACCTTATTTAAACCTTATGTGCTCCCAAAAGATCCCCAGGAAGAAATAATAGCATAGAATAAAGGAAACGACAGGTGGGAGACATGACGAAACGGACGTTTGGAGAGTAGAGTAGAAGGTCTCTAACTAGCCAGGTTGAATTATGAAAAACTTATTCAGAAAACAGTGGGGAACCATGAAAAATATTTTTTGAACTGTCGAATGACAGTAAGATTTCTTTCTTTCTTTTTTTTGAGACACAGCCTCAAGCTGTCCCCCTGGGCAGAGTGCTGTGGCATCACAGCTCACAGCAACCTCCAACTCCTCGGCTCAAGCCAGTCTCCTGCCTCAGTCTCCCAAGTAGCTGGGACCACAGGCGCCCGCCACAACACCCGGCTACTTTTTGGTTGCAGCCATCATTGTTCTTTGGCGGGCCCAGGTTGGATTCAAACCCACCACCTTAGGTGTATGTGGCTAGCACCTTAGCCACTTGAACCACAGGGGCTGAGCCGACAGTACGATTTCTTCAGCAAGCCTGGTCTGGCAGAGACATGGAGGTTGAACTCACTCATTCAGCAAATATTTTTGGACATCTATTATGTGCCCGGCACTAATCGAGCTAGTATTGAATAGGCAAAACCTCCTGCCCTTATGGAGCTTATAGTCCAGTATGAGGAAGTAAATAGTAAATAAGCTGAAAGATGTAATTAGACCACTTGGGAAGAGATCACAAACAGGGGAACAGTAAATGTAGAAAAAAGGAGGGGATGATTAAGAGCATCAGAAGAATTTCCATTATGCCGAGATGACTGAGAAGACCGCTGAACTAAAAACAGAAATAAAGGAGTTAGAAGAATGTGAAGGAACCTTCCCCTCACAACAGCCTCAGAAGGTCAGCTCTAGACACACAACTGGGCAGTTGCCTGCAGGCAGATATTAGTAGAAGCCACAGGAGAGTAAAGAAAAGTAGAGGGCAAAGGGCCCAGGACAAATAAATCATAAATGTGATAAAATGTCCACAAGAGTAGGAAAAAAATAAAAGCCAGAGGAGACAGAATTGAAGAGAAATATTTTTTAAAACCTAGATAAGGAGGGGTAATGGGAAGATTCTGCAAAAGAGATGTTAATGTGCGTACATTTTTTTCCTCTCCTTACCTGCTCATTCTTTTTCTGAACCCACTCCTTATGCTTTTCTTCAGCAATTATCTTTCTTTTTTCACGTTCTTCCATTTCTTTTCTTTTCTCTAGTTGTTGATTTAATTCCTGTGGGTTTTATTTAAACAAAAAGCAACAATGAACAGAAGTACGCAAATCACATACTTTAAAGAGGGCTGAGGTTAACCAAATTAAACAAGAATATACTTTCCTTCCTAGAGCATATACCACTAGTGACAGTAACTTACTGAAGTAACCAGTCTATGATGAAAGAAAGCATTGGTAAGAAGCGTAAGTCATTTTTTAGAAATGTACAAGTAATTGCTTGGCAGCAAAACACTAGTTTCTTAGACTAAACTTCAGCTAAATTACCCTCATTGAAATCAACTTTCCCACACATAAATTTTGGCATCACTGTAAGCTACTGGCAGAAGCTCAAGAGAATCACAACTTTTTTTAACAGTTATAAAAAGCTTCTAGATTCTTGATTAAGATAAAGGATAGGAATTAAATAATCCCTAAATTAAAATTTTAATTCAGAGTTACACCAAAGAAGAAATGTAAAGAAGCCGTTCAATTTTCCTGAGGAGGGGAAAAAAAAGAATCCAGAGTTTTCTTCACTGATTTTTTAGCTGCTGGAGTTTAAAACAAAACCACATTCATATCCCAGATTATTTAACAGCCTTGCTGTCACTCGAATCTACACGTTTGGGCATTTCCTCAGGATAAAGAATGTGAAAGGTATGGCCAAATAAAACTACAAGCTAAACACCACCACTCTGTCACTCATCAGTTAAATTACTGCATTAGTTGAAAATGTTGTTCAAACTAGACTTTGCTAGGACTCTACAACTATAATTACTGGTTATTTTTCTTCTTTCTCTTTAGATACTAATAATCAGATACTTTTACATATCTCTTCCATTGGTCTCCACTCCTCGTCTCCACCCCCCTTTCCCAAAGACTACCTGGGCATGAGTAGTCTCATGGGAAAGACAACTTTACAGCTCCCAGACCAATTCAAGTGTTTTAAGTGAAGATAATAACACTTGACACTAAGAACAAACCTTTCAGAAGAACTCATGTTGTTCTGTGTATGTCCTGCCACCAGGATATCCGTCTTCCACAACTTCTCATCCTAAAATTTTGCTGCATAAAAACTACTGCCCTCACTCACTCAGAATTTCCAGGTTTTAAACACTATACCCCCCAAAGCAAATGTCCATTTTGGTCTTAAAAATACTTCACTACAATTGCAGCTGTTATTCATTGATTACTCAATCAATCCACTTTTAGGGTGCACCTACTACACAGTTAAAAAAAACTGAGATATAAAGATCGAATCCCAGAAGTCTGTGATCTAATCTGATCCTCTATACAACAAAGAATTGAGTGCTAAAGGGAATGGAAGAGAAGAAATAGCATGGACCAGGGTAGTCATAAATGAACGCCAGACAAGAAACAGTGAGATCAGACTTTGTACTCTTATCTTAGGATTGAAAATTTTAATTAATGTTGATATAGGAATTAAAAAAGAAAGAAGGGTCCAAAGTATCTAGAAAATGCTCCCAATGACCAAAATAGTGCTCTAATCTCAGGATGTCTGTTCAACTAATTTGCCAACCCAGGAAGTATAGTGTATTTATCATCTCAACAATAGTAACAATATATAAAATTTTGTGAGCAATTTTAATGGGCTAGAATAATTTTTTAATACAGCCCCACAAAAATATGTGCGACAAATCTAAATGTCTGTTGCTGAAATCAAATTTATGAGTGGGGATGATCTTTTTAATGAGCCAACTAACACACAAATTTTCCTTTAAATTTTAAATAAAATAAAGTTAAATTCAAAAATAAATACTAAGTCTTAGGTGGTGCCTGTAGCTCAAAGAAGTAGGGCGCCAGTCCCATGTGCTGGAGGTGGCGGGTTCAAACCCTGCCCCAGCCAAAAAGTAAATAAATAAATACTAAGCCTGGCGTATTTGTATTCCTAAAATAAATTTTGATATTGTGGAAAAAGCACTTAAAATTGTAAGTCAAAAGAACTAGGTTCCAGTTCTAGTTCTGCCACTAACTGAAACTTGGCAAAATTATTTCTCTAGCCTTCATGCTTTTTTTTAGCTTTAACAGGTATTTGAGATAAACTATTCATTATGGTTAAAAATTTGTGCTTTGGGGCCAGGTGTGGTGGATCACACCTGTAATCCTAGCTAGCACTCTGGGAGGATGAGGTGGGTGGATCACATGAGCTCAGAAGTTTGATACCAGCCCCAGCAAGGGCAAGACACCATCTCTACTAAAAAAAAAAAGAAAAATAGAAAAACTAGCTGGGTGTAGTGCCACATGCCTATAGTCTCAGCAGCCACTCGGGAGGCTGAGGAAAAAGAATTACCCAAGCCCAAGAAGAGTTTAGGTTGCTGTGAGCTAAGATGCCATAGCTCTATTCAGGGTGACACAGACTGTCTCAAAAAAAAAATAAAAAAATGTGCTTTTAATATGGTCTGTAAACAAATAAGAGAATATAGTAAACAAGAATAGAAAAATAAGGAAAACATGACTTAGAAAATAGAAACAAGGGAAAGACAAGAAAAGAATATGAGTATCACAATAGCTCAAAATCAGCTTACACAGTAAGTTGAATAGTATTTCTCACTTATGAATGAATATTTTAAAAGCTATTGAACTAAATAATGGAATAAATAAAGTTAATACTTAGGTTGAAGTAAAGGAAGTAAGAGTCTAAGGTCTAAAAAATACATAATAATTCTGAAAATTACAATGAATAGCAATGACATAAATAATAACACTGATAAAAACAAAGGTGGCTATTTATATTTTGTTTCATTTAATCCTCACAAAAATCTTGTTACATGGGTATGATTTTATCCCCCTTGTACACATGAGAAAACTGAAATAAAATTTTAAATAGCTTGCCTAAGATCCCCCAGCAAGTAAGAAGGCTGGCACGTAGGGCATTTATTAACCCGGCCAGACACCAAACCATAAGGTCTTTCTTAAGCTATGTGATCTGCAAATAACTGTCACGTTCTCGGTGCATTTTCTAGGAACAAATCTATATTCTAGAATACTAAGTACCATACAATAAGGAAACAGCAGAATGTACTAATTTTCACAATCATTTGAATCATGCCAACTCTCCTGAAGATGTGACTCCCTATTTGGTTAGAAAAACATCAGAGAAATAAGTAGTTTCAAAATTAATATGGAAAATTTATTCAAAGGCAGATCATGAAGTGTAAAACGTTAATTTTCAGGATTTTCATAACAAAATTACAAAATGAACTAAAATAGCCAACAACTGTGAGCCAGTTAACTACATTTTAATATATATTTGATAGATTTTAAATATGGTTCCATAATATTAGACAGCCATTTTGAAATAATGTTATCTGGGAAGAAGGTTTTGCTGTTGCCGAGGCTGGAGTGCAATGGAATGACCATAGCTCACTGTAACCTTGAACTTCTTGGATCATGTCGTACTCCCACCTCAGCTATCCAAATGACTGGGATTACAGACATGCATTCCCTACCCAACTAAGTGTTGTATTTTTTTTAGAGATGGAGTCTTACTATGTTGCCCAGGCTGGTCACAAACTCCTGGCCTCAAGCAATCTTCCAACCTCAGCCTCCCAAAGTGCTTGGATTACAGGCACGAACCACCACAAATATAGGCCTATACAAATATTTAACTATAGAAAGATATATTAATAATGTAACAGGGGTGGTGCCTGTGGCTCAAAGGAGTAGGCCCCACATGCCAGAGGTGGCAGGTTCAAACCCAGCCCCTGCCAAAAACTGCAAATAAATAAATAAATAATGTAACAGGCAAAAAAAAAAAAAAAAAAAGCAGGTTGCAAGAGTTTGATGCTATTTCTGTGTTTGGATAAGAAGAATTCATATAGTGAGTTTGGACAGTGAGTTTAAGGAGTACCAAACTAACCAAATCTATTTGCTTACCAGGTTAATAGGAAGAGTTCAAATTGAGAGATCCATCTGAAACTATATCTAAAACTATTTGTTATTTGAGTCTGTATAGCAAAAGTTCAAAAAAAGAATCACACACATGGAAATGTCCATACATAAGAAAGGGAGCACAAAGAAACTTAAGCACCCTGAAAGACCAGCAGATTCCCATTGTCAGCACACACTCACTCGAGGGCATGTTATTTGAGTGATGTATGGAAGTAGAATCCTATCTTTATATATATATATATATATATTTTTTTTTTTTTTTTGTAGAGACAGAGTCTCAGTTTATCGCCCTCAGTAGAAGTGTGTGGCATCACACAGCTCACAGCAACCTCCAACTCCTGGGCTTTTCTCTTGCCTCAGCCTCCCAAGTAGCTGGGACTACAGGCGCCGGCCACAACACCCAGCTATTTTTCTTTTTTTCTTTTTTTGTTGCAGTTTGGCCGGGGCTCTGTTTGAACCCACCACCCTTGGTATATGGGACCGGTGCCCTACCTACTGAGCCACAGGCACCACCCATTTATTTTAATTTTTGTTAAAAAAGTTTACCGTTTATGTGTACATAGTTGAATTTACCTTAATTACATGTATATATAGTGAAGTTCCATTATATGTGTGTTTCTCTCTCTCTCTCTCTCTATTTTTTTTTTAATCTTTTTTTTTGGCCAGAGCTGGGTTTGAACCAACCACCTCTAGCATATGGGGCCAGCGCCCAACCCCTTTGAGCCACAGGAACTACCCCTGTATTTTAATCTCTTTTTTTTTTTTTTTTTTTTGAGACAGGAAACTCAAGCTGTCCCCCTGGGTAGAGTGCCGTGGCATCAAGCTCACAGCAACCTCTAACTCATGGGCTCAAGCGAGTCTCCTGCCTCAGCCTCCCAAGTAGCTGGGACCACAGGCGCCCGCCACAACACTCGGCTATATTTTTTTGGTTGCAGCCATCATTGTTGTTTGGCCTGGGCTGGATTTGAACCTGCCACCCTGGGTGTATGCAGCTGGTGCCTTAGCTACTTGAGCCACAGGCGCCAAGTCTATATTTTAATTTTTAAATAACTTACATGGAAGAAAATCTGGAATGTTACATGACATAATAATATTAACAATGGTTACCTTCCAATGATAAAATGAGATATTAAAATTTCTTAATTATGCTTAGCTGTGTTTTCTAAATGCTCTTATAATGAACATATATTATTTCTTTTAGTAAGAGCTATTAAATTTGATATAGTAAACCAATACAAAAAATGCAAAAAAATTTTCAGGGATAATGACAATGACATTTAATTTATAACAGCAGCTACTTTGTGAGTTCATGGATTAAATAAGAAGAACACTGTCTAGTTATACCTCTAGAGCTTTCTGTTGCAGCCGGCCACGTTCTTCTTTTTCTTTGCCAACAAACCACACTTCCCATGGTGTCAGGTTGCTTTCTGGTAGGCTCACCTGTTTCTGTTCTTGGTTATCTTCGGATTCAACTTCAGTGCTGCAAAAAAGAGGCTAATATAGCACTTGGACATGAAAATCTTTTGTTTTACTAGTCAAAATCACTTGACTATACAGTGAAAGCAAAACTTAATAATGTACTTATAATTTGTGGGGTTTTTTTTTTGAGATGGAATCTCAGTCACCCTTGGTAGAGTGCTGTGGCATCACAGCTCACAGCAACCTCAAACTCTTGGGCTTGATTCTCTTGCCTCAGCCTCCCAAGTAGCTGGGACTACAGGAGCCTACCACAAGGCCCGGCTATTTTTGTGTTGCAGTTGTCATTGTTGTTTAGCTGGCCTGGGCCAGGTTTGAACCTGCCAGCCTGGGTGTATGTGCCCTACCCAGTGAGCTACAGGCACCGCCTAATTTGTGGTTTTTATAAATACTATGTACCTCCCTAGTTGACCACATTTCCTATACTGACCACATCCCTAAGTCGACCTAATTTTCACAGACCAGCCATGCATCACATATACTCAATGTATAGTATGCCTAGTTTCTATGTTGACCGCTTCCATATGTTGACTAGTTTTTTACAGTCCCCTGGGTGGTCAACTTACAGAGGTTCTACTGTATATATGCAAATTAATTATGTATAAATATATTTATGAAAGATCATGAAAAGAAATTCCAACATCTGAATTTGTTTGTCCATCCAACTGCCTTTCTTCATCTTCTAAAACTACATTGTTTAAAAACCTCATTGGGATAAACTACATCCAATCCAACTAATTAGACAACTAATTACTAATTATAACACATAATCCTAATCAGATCCTGGAGCAGACATTTCCCTTTCCCTCCTTCAAACAGTTCAAGCAAAAAATGTATGTACACAGAGAAAATAAGGAAGTAAATGTGTTAAGCAATTAGGGTTTGTGGAAGGTAAAAAGTTGTTCTTTATATTCTTTCAACTTTTCTATAACTTTGAAATTGTTCTGAACTAAAAAGCTACTAAAGAAAAATATGGCCCCCATATGGCCCCTATCTTCTTTAACATTTAGGCCAGTGGTTCTCAACCTTCCTAATGTTGCAACCCTTTAATACAGTTCCTCATGTTGTAGTGACCCCCCACCCATAAAATTTTCGTTGCTACTTCATAACTGTAATTTTGCTACTGTTCTGAATCATAATGTAAACATCTGATATGTAGGAGACCCCCAAAGGGGTCGCGACCCACAGGTTGAGAACTGCTGATTTAGGCTGACAACCTTTTGCCAATCTTTAGGGTGTATTTTTCTCTCTAATCTGGTACCTCCTACCACAGTCTCCACTTGAGGGAGGTGAAGGATAGAGACAATTCCATGCAGCTGCTTCACTGAGGACTGCTTGACAGCCCAGAACAATGGTGGGGCTATGACTCGGGCTGCCTGCTCTCCTCATTCCATCACCCCTAAGCTGTCCAGGACACCAACTAAAAAGGTCAGAAATAGGGAAGAATGAGAAAATTTTCTAAAAATTTATTTTTACTAAAAAGAAGTGCTAAATTTTTTGAATTTTAAAAATAAGTACTCTATCCATCTGTCTTCCTAACATTCTAGCTCCATCATTAAATTCTACTGTCAGAATTGGGGAGTATACATTCATTCAGCACCCATTTACTGAGTACTTAATAAGCATCGGATACTTGCCATGCACGAGGCCTGCCAACTCCTACATTCTCTTTCCAAACCCATATCCTCGCTATTCCTTTGATTCATAGGACCTGAGTGTAGTAAGGAAGGCAGCCTTAGGTGCTACCAGCTCATTTAGGTTTTGGATAAGCAAGACATGGATATGTCTGGCTTCTCCCCTGGCAGGCTTCATTTGGTCAGGGTTCTGGTTCTTGGAAGCTAATGAAAGGTCTCCATGTATTTATTTCTCAGGCTGCTAACCTGCATCTACACTGTTTACTCTTGTTGACTATACTCAGAAGGTGTTTGCCAAAGCCTAGAAATTTATGTTAAATACCTTTGAGACCAACTCAGTCCTAAAGAATCCCAACAAAGGCCCAGATAAAAACATATTCCTAAAATTCCAGCTCTACCATTAAATTCTACTATCAGGTTGATCAGGTTTTTGTTGCTACAACCAGTGTGTAGTAACAAGAGGCTGGCTTGGTTTACTCTTTCTGATCTCCATTCTCAACAATGTACTTACTTTTACTTTCCATCCTTAACAGACTCACTCTTGTAACCAGGCATTTGGTTTGCTGCATAGTTTTATATTTCATTCACTCAATCTAGATATGAGTGCCTTATACTGAGGCTATTTTACTACTTAACACATAAAACATGGGCTCTCTGGCTTGTATTTCTTAGTAATCCTGTTCTATGCCTTATACAATTTGACAATCAGGAACTTTTAAATACTTTTTGAAGAAAATAAGTCTATCCCAGAATGGACCTGCATTACTAGGCCTGTCTCAAGAGATGTTCCTGCCAGGGATAGGTCCTTTACTGGTATTTCCATATACTGAATACGAGACAGGTAGTACAGGAAAGAGAACTTGGTGGGTACATCTCGGTACTAGGCCCAGGTCTGCTAATAAGTAGGTACATGCCTTTCAGTCAGACCTTTTTATTCTGAGCCATGGTTTTGCTATCTGTAAAATAAGCAGATTGATCTAGGCTTCAATTCCATGAGAGTGGAGACCACATCTTGATTACAGTCCCCAGGACCAAGACTAATTATATGGCACAAAATAAATGTTTGCTGAGTGAATAATTGTAGAAATAAACATACTGAGATCATTTTAATGGCCTGTATCCACTCTATAAGTTCTTTCTGAGATCATACCCAACCTTGTCTCTGCATGCTGAGGTTAACGGTGCTAACCTCTGTGCTTCAGGTCTTTATGACATAAAAAGTGACCTACTTACTACAATCTACTAGCAATAAATAGATTTTAAAGAAAATCTACTACTGGGCGGCGCCTGTGGCTCAAAGCGGTGGGGCGCCAGCCCCATATGCTGGAGGTGGTGAGTTCAAGCCCAGCCCCTGCCAAAAACTGCAAAAAAAGAAAAGAAAATCTACTACTGATCTATTTCGCTAACAAATCAGTAGATTTTCTTTAAAATAATCAGATAGTACTAAGGTGCAGTAAACCACATTTCAGTGTGACAGGTGTGGAGTTCACAGTCTAGCTTTTGACGATTCATAAATGTCCTGAAATAGTAGCAAAATTGCGTTTGTCTGGGACTTTGTGTCTTTTTCAGGGAATCGAGATTGTGGCAACCACCATATGTCAGGAAAAATCAAGTGTCATAGGAAACCTGTTGTCATTTGGATTACTCTGCCCTCATTATGTGGAAAAAAGGGAGCTGCACCTTGGGACGCAGGTGCCTGCGCTGCCTTTGGGGCAGAAGCCAGGAGAGTGGCCGCAAAGAAGGTGCTCAGAAGGGTCTCTAAGGAATGTTGGAAAGGGCTGTATCGGCCCGGCGGCCTCGGGGTTACCTGGCGCGCCCCTGTAACTCCACTCTTCTCGAGCTTGCCACCTGGACCTCAGAGTCAGAGGCATCTTCGTCTGCCTCTTCCTCATTCTCCCCGCCACCGTCGTCCTCGTCAAACGGGAAGCTCTGGTGGCCGAGAGGAGACAACAGCGACATGGTGGAATTGCTGCAGCTGACGGGCGGCGACGGCTGGCACCCCACCTCCAACCCTTCTCCCTGGGCGCCCATCATGAGGACAGAAAAAGAGCTCAATGAGGGCCGCGACCTGGGTCTGCCATCAGAGGAGGAAAGGGTATAGGTAGAGGCAGAAGCAGCCCCCCACTGCCCGGCCGCCAACATCAGGCCCGCCAAGTTCAAACTGGAGGAGTCGCGGCCCGGCCGCCCTCTCCCAGCAGGCCCTGCGAGCACCGGGCCAGGCCAATCCGGGCCTGCGCAGACCCCACGTTGCCATAGCGACGCGTGGAGGCCGTGAGGGCTTTGTCTGGGCCTGCCCTGCATGGCTTAGGTTAGCCCAGCGGGCTGAGGTTGGCCGTCCCTTTCTCCTCTCTAGAAGGAAGGTGGCTGCTGCAGTGAGCTGGCTTCCTTCCGCGCCGCGCTTTACCCCGGGAGAGGTCCTGGCTCCCTGCTGACAACTTTAAGTGCCTGTCCCTTGTTTGCTGTGGTGTTGCGGATGATGTGTCACCTGAAATCTTACCTTTCACTGAATAAGGCAGATGCTTTTAAAGGGTAAGAGGCAGAAGGCTAAACTAACTCCCCACCCCCATGCAATTACAAGGTACGGATTATAAGCCTCAATCGTGATTCCTTTCAACACAAATGGGGGCTGAACTTTATCCAGGTTTCTTCTGGGACAATCTTTCAGTGTTTGTGTAGCATCTTGTTTGCCTGGCATCTTAACAAAACTAGTTTATCTCTGCGTGTGAATTTTTGGACTCTGAAAACTCTAGTATACGCTAGGGTCTTCACAAAGCACTGGGAATAGATGAAAGAACATCCAGCCTTTACCTTAAGTTCCTTATCTTTTTATGGTGAAGAATCATCCCATTGAAATATGCTATGATACCCATTTTATGAGAAAGAAAAAAAATTGTGTGGGACTGGGGGGGCACTTTCCTCTTAGGGACTGAGGATATGTGTAGGAAGGGAGAATGATAGAAAACAAAGCTGGATGCTTTATTCATGCTGACAAAACTGTGCACACCTGTAAATAAATATGGCTTCCGTTGAGCTAGTTCATAATGCGTGTTGGTAGAAATACCATGAACTGAAAACGGACAATGGCTAGCTAAAATGGCACACAAAATTTGTTACTAACCAAAGAGGGATACAAAACCTTTGATGAAATTTAGATCTGCAAAATGTTACACAGGAGAATTAAATATGGTAGAAATAATAGCAACCTAAGAATTCATATGGCAGAAGCTATAATCAATGAAATATGACACTGTTACAACTATTTATGTGAAATATTTTATTAAAAGTTTCAGTACTAGCCTCATGCGGTAGCTCACGCCTGTCATCACCTGCACTCTGGGAGGCTGAGGCGGGTGGATTGCCTGAGCTCAGGAGTTCGAGACCAGCCTGGGCAAGAAAGAGCGAGACCCTACCTCTAAAAAATAGACGGGCATTGTGGAGGGCACCTGTAGTTCCAGCTACTTGAGAGGCTGAGGCAAGATAATCACTTTAGCCCAAGAGTTTGAGGTTGCTATCATCTTTGACTCCACTTCACTCTACTGAGGACGGTTTCCAAAAAAAAAAAAAAAAAAAAAATTCAGTACTGACAAAATGAAAATGGAAGAAAATTGGAAAAAGCTGAATTGAATAGTAATGTTGATCAAGGAATTAAACTACTTAATGAAATTAGTTTTCATTCTCCTCCCCAATTACTCAATATTTGTGTATCTGTTTAAAACCTTTTATCAGAACATCTCTACTATCAACATAAAAAGGCCCTGGGCTGCCTTCACCCTTCATGAAGAGTTAAGTTCGAAAAACTATTGTCCAACAGACATACCTGATGTAACTGCAATGGAAAAAACAAATTTTAGTATGAAAGGGACCTGGATTTGAATCAATGGTTTTCCTAATCCTAATTTATTTCTTTGTAAAATAATAAAAATTTTTTTCAGGGTCTTCTCATCTTATTAATCCTCAAAGCTCAGGACCTGACAGATATAATGGTATATTTTGTAATTTAACCTCTTAAAATTTTTCCACTTTAACCTCTTGGTAACGCAATCTAAAATGTCATGTTTTTCTGCCTCTTTAAGATGTTTTATGGCTTGGCGCCTGTGGCTAAGGCGCCAGCCACATACACCTGAGGTGGCAGGTTCGAATCCAGCCCAGGCCGCCAAACAACAATGATGGCTGCAACCAAAAAATAGCCAGGTGTTATGGCGGGTGCTTGTGGTCCCAGCTACTTGGGAGGCGGAGGCAGGAGACTCACTTGAGCCCAGGAGTTGGAGGTTGCTGTGAGCTGTGATGCCAAGGGACTCTACCCAGGGGGACATCTTGAGACTGTATGCAAAAAAAAAAAAAAAAAAATGATGTTTTACGAAACAAAGTATGCCCCTTCTTTGATGCTTGCGGGTCATAATCATGACCAACTGCTGCATTATGCTCTAGCAATCCTGGACCCAAAGACTAAGAGGAAAAAAGTCACGTGGCACTTGGGCTGGTATAATGGAGTTGTGTGGTCTCATTTCTTACAGTACCTTTTCATTACTGGGACCATAACCAAGATGGGTGAAATTGTATACATATGTACACATAAGCTCCAAAGAAAGTTTCTCGCCTTAAGTTTTAAGATGTTGGCTTAGCAACATTTTCATACTGATTTATTTTCTCTTTCAGGGTATACTTGAGAAAATTACGTTTTGCTGGCTCTGTTACCCTGTATAAGTGAAGCATTACTTTGCTTAAAAATTTGTATAAAACTTTGTTACAAAAATAATGCCATTACTAGTTAGCCCTATTGCAATAAAGTATGCGATTTAAGATTTTATTCCTAGACATATTGAAGTATTTACAGATGAAACAACACAATGTCTCAGATTTGCTTCAAAACATTCCAAGGGGCAAAGGAACTTGGGGGCAGGGGGAGTTGTTAGTGAATGGGGTGAAGATGAAAAAAGCTTCACCACATGCTCTGGATAATTGTCAAAGCCGTGATGGGTATGGGGTGAATAGTGGGGAAAGGATAATTTACTACTGTTATGGAAACTTCAAACATACATCAAGTTTAAAACATACACACACAAAACTATGTCCAGAATTAAGAGGTATTTGGTTCTGGGGTGAGGTCTAATTAGCTGTAACTCAGGGATTCACTTAAATTTCATTAAACCCTTTGTTGTTTTCTCATCTACAAGATAAGGACTTGATTATAAAGATGGAGGTATTTCTAAGCAAGCGGACAACTGACTACATTTAAAATCACACAGGTTTTTTTAGTGATTTTTCTTTTTTGAGAGCGTCTCACTGTGTCACCTTGAGTAGAATGTAGTGGTGTCACCATAGCTCACTGTATCCTCACACTCCTGAGCTCAAGCAATCCTCCTACCTCATCCTCCCGGGTAGATGGGACTATATGCCATGAGGTCCAGCCAATTTTTCTATTTTTAGGATAGAGGGAGAGTTACTCTTGCTTAGCCTGGTCCTGAGCCTAAGTAAGTAGTCCTACCACCTCCATTTGCTTTTATAGATGTAATTGATGGCATTATCTTAAATTTACAATTTGTTTTCTGTGAGTATGGTGCAGACTTAGGATAAAAACCTTACTTGTAAATTTCAGTAAAGTGTTCTTAAATATTTCTAGGTAGTATCAAAATAATGTTTTCTAATGGTTATTTTCTATATTTTTTCTTCTGCTGTCAACTTAGTATTTTGCTTACTTTAAGTAAATTCATCAACATACCTAGTTATAAATTAAGGCAAAATAGGTTGTTTTCTAGAAACTTTAATAGTTCAAAACACTAAGTACAATATTGTATTTCATACAATATATAGCACAGTTTAACACATCTATCGCTATTCTATTTTTTAAATGAATAAAAGGAAAAATTTTCAATAACTTGAATTTTGGAAAACTTTTTAATTAGGAGTTTCTTACCAAGTTATGATTTCATATTTATCAGATATGTAAATATACAAATAGCAATTTTTAAAACTTGTAAATAGTTGGCCTTATAAAATTACAACACACTGTAAATAAATCCTTCCCACATTTTATACAAACTACGTGATTTTGATATACAAAGATTTGTTTTTATTACACTGACAATGTACAACCAAGACTATATACAATGCAAAAAAGTATATAAACCACAATTTAACATTCTGCTACTGGCAGTCACTATAGTTTAGGAGGTAGCTTTAATTAAACGAAATGAACAGAAGCCACATTTCCCAACTTGTGTTCTAAAATAATTTACATAAGATAAAAATTCATTATATGCACAGTATGTACAGTTTAATTATTAAACTGCAATCTAACTTAATGTTTTTTTAGTATATCCAGAATAACTAATATGGCAGTGGGTTTGCTATTGATTGAGCACATTGTTCAAAAAACATATTGAACAAGTGTAACTTAAGATTCCACATAGTAATATGTCAAAAGCACACAGCTGAGAAGTAAAATTTTTAAAGGCATAGAACTAAGCTTTATTCCTTGTTTTTTCTCTTAATAACATATTTATTTTGTGTATTCAGATCTCAGCATTTGAGCTGAGCCTATTGAATAGTCTCTTTTTAAAATCATAGTACAGGGAAAATGTACAGAAGCTTCCATGTTAATCACACAGAGTCAGGAGGATCTAGCTCACTAAGAAATAAATGTATGTGCTTTGAGTCATAATTACTCCCAGTTTCTTCCAATTAAATGGAATTATTTTTCATAGTTTACTTTCTATATAATCCAAACTATAAATAGATACATACTAACAAAATTGGAAAATATCAGTAGAGCCAATGATATTAGGAAGTGTTTATTAATGGGAACATTATATGGAGCCATCAAACCCTTCAGATACTATTAAAAGCCCCATATTAGCATTTTGGCCAAATCTACTAAACCCACACAGCAATTAACCTTTTAGTTTTTCCTAATGGTGTGATTGAAAAAAGTAACAGAGGGGAAAACTGATTGCACCAAAGCAATGTAAAATAACTGAAAACAAATGTTCAGCTATTTTTTAAAAATCGATAACAGCTGTTAATATTGTTTTAAAAACATCTTCAGTTTTTACATTTTTAAATCACAAAATTTAAGATGTTGTTATGTCCAAGATGGAAATAGAAAACCCAATAAGGTAATGTGTGTGCATACTCTCACAGTTCTAGCTGGGAGACAGTCCCTTTTTTGGCCTTGCAGTAAATTGTCCTGAGATTGATGATGAAATGTTAGAGAAAATTAGCAAGAACTTTTCTTCAGTTACAGAAAGTCACATTTTAAAACAGTTTTTTAAAAAATATTAACAGCTGTTCTTTATCTTGTGCTTAATTGAAAAAAAAAGGTATAAATTTGTTTCTATGGATCAGAAACATCTAACATCAAATATTGCTATAATACACCTTCAATCCCTTCAACTTATAAATGTGTTCCAAACAGACCACACATTGCTTGGATATTGAGTTTTTCACCAATTTATAATTTAGGCACCTGTTCTTTGAAAATGTCTGATTTGAGAAATAAACTGCCACCTTCCCCTTATTCTAAGTGACACCAGGCAGTGATTACACAGAAGTGCTTCCCAGATAAAGGATCAGAATAGGGTTCACTCTATAAACATTGTGATTTTGGTTGATGGGGGAAATGGTTACAAGCACAGTAGTTCAGTCTTTAACTCTTGGTAGATTGTAAGCATAGCGCACCAAAGGGAATCCTCGACTCTGGTAGAAGCAGGCACGTCCACAGGCCTGCACCTGGTCAGAACTGTCTGAGACAAAGGAGTCTTCTTCATCTGCATAATCAGAGTGGGCCGACTGTGTGCCACAGTCAGACCAGTAGCCTTCCGGTCTTTGGCAAGAAGCCACTGCCAGTGCAGGACAGCTGTGTGATTTTATTAAGTGTTTGCATGACACTGGCTTTGTCAAAAGAAATGATTCGCAGCAGTCACACACAGTCAGGTTACCCTGCAAGTGTGAGTACACGCCGCAGTCGTAGTAGAAATCCTGCTCCACATAACCACCTTGACTACTGACGGAAACTGAAACAGATCCATTTTTCTTGGTAACACGTCGCTTCAGTAACTTCCAGTCTTCTTTAAACTTTGGGTTGAAGAAAACATACAGGACTGGATTCAGGCAAGCAGGCAATGGGAAAAATATGAGAGTAACAGACTTCATTATTTCAGGGCTGATAGAGATTGCAGTGATCAGTGGTGCAAATGAGAAGAATGCAACAGGGCAGAAAAAGATGCAATTGGTGAAGATTAGCCAGGCAACATGCTTAATCATGTTAGACTGTGAGTTTTCGGAGAGGTCCTCTTTTTCCAAGTTGCAGTACAATTTAGTATAGATAATGGCCATTAACAAAAACGCTAATGAGTTTAATAGCACTAAAGTTACAGTAAAGCCTAATGACGGTGCTTCTCCGGTAGGAAATGGCAAGCACAGGGGTGATGCAGAATATTCCCCTCTGTGGAAAAGGGGAAAACAGCCTGCTACTGCAGCACCCAGGAAAGCAAAAAGGGCAGCAACTTGGAACTGCTGGAGATGATTGCTTTTCCCATTTTTCATTATATCTCTTGCAGATAAACTTCTTTCAACAGTTGCTAACATTAATAAAAATATGGCACTTTCTGAGGAGAAAACTGCAAGAAACCCAGCGGCTTTGCAGCCATTGCCAGTTTCCCACCAGATGCCAAATTCAGCAAATCTGCCCCAGGACACAGCATCAAGAAAAGTTAAGATGCCAGTATAGATTCCCATGAATAAGTTAGACACGGAAATCAAGCCTATGAACAATTTGGAGGAAGGCAGTGATGTACAAGATGCAAATGTGGTTAAAATAACCAGCAGGTTGAAAAACAGTGCAACCAAGAAAATGAACCAGACGGTAAGACGAATCATCCAGCTTCCAAGTAAATATTCACAAGGCTTAAAAGCACCTGAAATGAAAAAGAGAGATAAATAAGAGGCAATTTAGAAAAGACCGTATTGCACATGATACGTCTTGACAGAGAAACTGATAGTTAGAAACAACTAAATCTGCTATGTACCTGGATTGAACCAAATTAAAAAGATTACTTACTACACCTAAGATTTTCTCCATGGACTAGGCAGTTTTAAAAATAAACCTAACTTTATTTCTCTTATTAAATATTTCAGTGGTTCTCAACCTTCCTAATGCTGCAACCCTTTAATACAGTTCCTGTGGGTCACAACTCATAGGTTGAGAACCACTGAAGTATTTGGTAAGTCCACAGAGTGATATTTAGAAGAAAGACTTTGATTTTGTTCTTACACCTAAGTTAATACACATAGCACAACATCTAACACGTAAAAGGTATTTGATATTCTTAGGATCTGAAATCAGATGGTTCATACCTTGCTATTCTGACTGAGAGAAAACACTGAAATCTCTATAAATTTCATTTTCTCACTTGTGCCTGTTTCATAGAGTTGTGTAGTGTGAATAAAATTACATACATAAGGTACACTTAAGCAGGCTGCTGGGTATATACTCAGATTACAATAAATATTAACTCCCTTTTCTTACTTTCTAGGCCCAATATACTTTATATGTATGTGTATTTTTTTAAACTTATTTTTGCACATTTTCTTATGGTTTCCAAATGCAACCTGAGGATGCAGGGTAAGGTAGGTATAATTAAACCCATTTTCATCCAGAGAAACTGATATTTCCAAGTATTTGATTGACCAAAGGGTACTCAAAAGTATAGGGAGGACTAAATCACTGTGACGTTAACTGTTCATACAAAGTTACACACAATAAAATGCTACATGACACAAAGTAGGATTGCAAGAACACCTTCAGGAGCTGAATTGTACATTCCAGTATCTGACTTCAACATGCTAGTATGTCATGTGAAAACTTTTAAAAATTAGGAAAAAAAACACAATTTTGACTATGAAGCAGAAGGAAACCATGTTATTACAACTGCCTAAATACATGTTTCATCTTTCTGAACTGTCGTGGAATTGACATATCCAATAAAGCATTTTCATTGTTGAGATAGTCATAGACCTAAAAATCCAGTTCTGCTCCATCTATGTGACTTCCAAAGAAACTTTTTGAAATTTAATTTTCTGTTTTACTCCCTCCTCAGGAAGTGCCAAGAGGAAGCGTTTTATCACCTTTATCTGTGTTCTGAACTCATCCTTCTTCATCCAACCTTGGAGAACAGGACCTCTTTTGAGAATTGTTTTATAGGTAGGTGGAGTTACTTCCCAGAAAAAGCCTGGGAGCAGCCTCCACCCAGGCTCTGTTTTTAGAAGCTTGCTGTCCCCTCCAGTTTTCTCCTCCACTGCCTGCTTCTGCAGTAAGCACTCAAGTCTGGGTATTACTATAGGGGAGGGCAGGCCTGCAGAGTTCATCCCACCGCAACCTATGGAGATGAGCTTAGACCAGCTTTCCTCCTAGCGATCCCCAAGGTTTAGATTCAGTGTGGAAGAAAAGGAACTGTTGCATGTTCAAGTCTAGCCTCGCCTTTAATAAAGCTGTTCCCTTCTTAGTGGATCATTGCTTCGTTACGTATATTCTCCAACACATGAACCCCAGTGGGACAATTGAGTGAGCTGCATTTCAAAAATCCATATAGAGACTAGTAAATGGTAAAATAACAGCACAAATATAAAGATTTGTGCCAACCCTATTCACTTATTTGGTACCTTAAAGCTTATTGTCTACACAACAAACTGTGTTAAGTATCTAAAGAATGTGTATATATATATATATATACACACACACACAGCCCATTAAGAAGCTCACAATTCAGCAGTAATCACTAGTGAATCTATAATACTTATAATTCAGAGTTAGAAAATTAATGTCCAGATCATCCTGTGATATATTAACAAAGGAATCCACTTTGTAGCACACAATTTAACTCAAATATTTAATTCTTTCTTTTACAGTAAAATTACAGATCCATTGTTTCTGGTAAATTAGATAGAATATGACATTTACAATCACCACTAAATATGTGGTGTCACATTTATAACTTACCCAAGATTGCTATGTTTAATGCAGTAAATCAGGAAGAAAGTTTTAAGAAAGGAAAGGCAAGGTTACATTAAAAAACACATACACACAGTGGAGTATGAGGGTGGTAGCTCGTGCCTGCAATCCTGGCACTCTGGGAGGCTGAGGTGGGAGGATCAATTGAGCCTAGGAGTTTGAAACTAGCCTGAACAAAAGCCAGACCCCATCTCTCCTAAAAATAGAAAAATTAGCCAAGCATTGTGGCAGGCACCTGTAGTCCCAGCTTCTCAGGAGGCTGAGGCAGGAGGATCACTTGAGCCCAGGAGTTTGAGGTTGCTGTGAGCTAGGCTAATGCATAGTACATGGTACTCTAGCTTGGGGCAACAGAGTGAGACTCTGTTTCAAAAAAGCACACCACGTACACAAAAAACACATCAGAAATCCTTACAGATGCAAAATGTATCGAACTAGTCCTGGAGTTTAGGGAACATGAAGAAAGTGCCTCTCACACTCTAATGTGCATAACCCTCACGTGTGGGAGCTTGTTAATATGAAGATTCCGATTCAGGGCAGCACCTGTGGCTCAAAGGAGTAGGGTGCTGGCCCCATATGCCGGAGGTGGCAGGTTCAAACCCAGCCCCGGCCCAAAAAAAAAAAAAAAAAAAGATTCTGATTCAGTGAGTCTGGCCCTGGGCCTGAGATCCAATGAGGGAGGACTAAGCTGCTCATACACAGACCACACTTTAAGAAGCTTTACGGCAGTGGTTCTCAACCTTCCTAATGCCGTGGCCCTTTAATACAGTTCCCATGGGTCGTGGCCCACAGGTTGAGAACCACTGCTTTCTGGGATCACATAGTGTACCACCCGTTAGAAAAACCACATCTCTCCTCAGAAATTTTAGATGTGTTTGCCTGATGTTTAAAGTGAGAAACTGTGGCAAAAATAGGTTAAGCCTACCTGTTGAGGGTGTACAGTGGATAATTATTTGACTATGTTCTTCATTTTCAGCATTGCTTGTGACATTTGCTGTATCAGCAGTACCTGCATATACAACATTAAATATGTTTAATTAAAAATTCAAAAGAATATTTTCCTATAGTTTTCTTTCTTGTATATGATGTAAGTTAATTTGACAGGAGCTTACAACACGTTAAAGAGGGTAGTGACACTAAATTCCATTTCTCTCCAAGACTTCATACTGATCCCATTCATAACAACAGAAACTTTGATGATGCCTTAAGAAATACTGTATTTTTAAAAATTTTTATGCACTTGCCTTTTTCCTTTGCCACACTGTGGCCTTGGAGGCTGGTATCTTCTGTGTTTAAATTTGCATATGATTCACAACCCCAAAATGCACAGCACTGATAAGCATATGGTACTGATAAAGACCTGAAAAAAAGTTGCAAGATCTAGATTGAATAGCAATTTCACAGATATGATTTTATTTTGTAAAAAGTATTTTAATCGTAGGAAACCATGGCCTAGGCATCAAAAAGACTGTCACATGCTTTACGCTGGCCATTTATCCTCTCTCGGCTTTACTGTCCTCCTCTGTGAAAACAGCTCTGGTATCAGATGACACTGTGAGTTTCTCTCTTTCTCATATTCATAAATTGATACCAACACTGTAATTTAAAATAAAATCTATGACTCCTTTTTAAGTATGTTAAACATACCCAATTTATCCTATGAAACTTCATTTAAAATTAATGCCCCAGGTCATTTGTGACTTTACACCATTGAATGAATTTATGTATTTTGTTCAGATAAATGTAATAAAAATGCTTATTCTCTTATCCCACAATAATATTTTCAAGCCCTCTACTATATTTGATGAGCCCCCCTCACCATAACTCTACAATCTTCATGAAGTATTACAGAAATTGTATCAGTTTTCTGTAGGTTCACACCACTTAAGTGGTTTCTGCCATATTTTTGTTAGTTGACAAGACCACTGTATAAAAATGTCACTCTGATAAATAGCTATATTATTTCTTTGGGAACATCAAGGGTTCCAGTTCATGTTCTCAAAAACTATGGAATAATACTCATGGTCCTATTTTTTGCCAAATTTGCAAGGAATGAGATAGAAAATACTCTTAAATTATAGCCTACCAGAAAATCTGAGAACCACAGCAAAAAACTAGGACACTATAATTTTGCAGCCTACCATAACTTTAACAAAAAAGAAAAATAAGCAAAAACACACCTGAGATTAACAAAGTCTTTTGCTGCTAAGGCTTCTTTCAGCTTGAAGTTGCCCACAAGTTTCAATTGATTTAGCCCATTTAGGCCTTCCGTAGGAAATGAAGTTAATTCATTGAAACTTACATCTCTAAAATGTAAGGAAGACTTCACGTTAACATCTAAGATACAAATCACATGAAAACATCTGCACGTGTATTAACATCCTAAATATTAGATCCTGAACATGAAGTTTAGGCAGGCAAAGATGGTAGATCTAGCATGGGTCTCGCCATTTGAGAAGATAGCTCTGTCAATGACAGCTCAGCCTTGATACAAAGGAACAATTAAAACAGAAAAATATTTTGAGCTGACAATGGTAAAACAAATTTCTGTAACCTTAGTTACTCCTTTAATTATATTCCTGTATAAAATCATCTACTTACAGGTTAGTTATTGGCCCAAGCTTGGCAAAAGCTCTGCTGTGAATTTCATGGATCAGGTTTCTACTCAGATCTCTGCAATTATAAGAGTAACATGTTAATCTTTTCAAATAAACACTCAAGATGCCAGTCAGTTATTTAAACTACACTTTAGAATCTGATAACACAATATCCCTGATAAGATAACAGAAAACCTCCCATTATGTTGAATGCCTCTCTTTCACAACCATCTATTTCTTGGAACATGTTCCCTGCAGTCGTAACTCCAGTTGGCATCTGTTCTGAAACAGTTGTGAATTTTCTCCACTTTATCATTTTGATACCAATTCAAAACTACACATGATTTGATACAACCTTTGGTACTATTAACTAGGTGAGGGAAAGCCCAGCTCCTGACAAAGCTGAAAATAAAAACAGCCTTCATACTATTTGCCTTCTCAAAGGTTAGTGATAAGGCCCTGAGGGAAGACAATCAATCAATAGGCAAACAAGAGCATTCCAGGAGGGCTTCAGATATCATTTTTTTCCTAAGCAGGAAATAGAAATTCTACAGTAGAGCCAGCTCTAAATTCAAGAATATGCTGTGAGAAATTCTGTTATTATAGATTAAAACAAAGAAGGAATCTTCAACCACACTGAAACTGAGCCTTACTAAAAATTTAAAGATGGGATAAATTCATCCCATGATACATCTCCTGGTTAAAAGAAAAACTCAACATACTTGGTTTCAAATCATGAAAAGACCAGCTTTTCATCATTGTCATTTATCAGCGCCGTAGAAGTGATGGCAGCCAGGAGCCAGCCTCCTTACTTACCACTGCCTAGGCCTACAGAGAGCTAATCCACAACCCGAAAAGATCCAGCAGCCTAACTACCAATTAGATATTTTCTAGTAGAACGCATGTTACAATTTCTTAAAGGGTATATCCTGGAAAACTGTATTCAATATATGTAATTTCACTTCACTGTCAATTTTTTAAGCTTTTTCTATGTTAAGAATATGATTTAGTGTATTGTATATTCTACACCAAAGTTTTAGAATGACAGTGAGTGACGAGGTTAACCTTAGTCACCTCTTTATTCCCAAATGCTTAGGGTGCCTGGCATAAAAAAATGCTCAAACACAAATAATTTTTTAAATGAATGCTTCTGTAGCCCATGATTCATATTTATCATGGTAGATACTCTGGTGCAGGAGTCAGCAAACTTTTTCTGTAGAAGGCCAGACAGTAAATATTTTTGCCTTTGTGGATCATATGGTCTCTGCTAGAACTTCTTAATTCCGCACAGTAAAACAGAAGCAGCTCCAACAAAAAAGCCTGGCTATGTTCTAATAAAACTTAGTTTATAAAACAGGAGGCAAGTTGGATTTGGCCCACAGGCTATCATCTGCCTACCCATGCCCAAGTGAATCACTAAACTTCACTATTATAATTTGAAAACAAGTTGTATCTCTCAGGTTATACACATTATACTTTTTTTACTCATCAGTGTACAGTATCAATTAGTTAAGGTAAAAAATACTAAGAGTAAAAAAAAAAAATACTAAGGGTAGATTATTCATAAACTACCGAGTGGTAAAGTTTGAACAATAATATCTATATAACATAAATCCAAACTTTATCAATTTACGTGGGAATCGTGATATATTTATAGCTTGACAAAAATGTTATGTGTCTTTAATAATCAGATAAACTTACAGAATCCTTAGGGATATCAGGCCTTGAAAAGTACCTTCCTTTATTTGGTAGATCTGATTACGTTGCAAAGAACTAAAAAAACATAAGATGGAATAAAAGGGAAATAAATATGCAGAGAAAAAATATATTCTACATTTTGATAAACAACACTGCTTAAGTTTTCCCCCATATGGAACACTTACAGGTACTTTACACTGATTGATCTTGCTGAAAGTAAAGAGAACTGCCCTATAAAATCAAATGCTTAGAGGAATTGGTGTTCCATCACGTATCACTGGGAATTTGCTAGTAAGCGATCTAAATTCCTCATCAACCTCATTCAGGTCTGAGAAGGAAGCCAGTGCAATGAGAAAGGGCCCAACACAACAGGACCATAGCAGGCACCACAGAATAAAGTCAGACAAAGAAGAGAGAATTAAAAATGGGAGAATGGCTCGGCGCCTGTGGCTCAAGTGGCTAAGGCGCCAGCCATATACACCTAAGGTGGAGGGTTCGAATCCAGCCCAGGCCCACCAAACAACAATGATGGCTGCAACGAAAAAATAGCTAGGCGTCATGGTGGGTGCCTGTGGTCTCAGCAACTTGGGAGGCAGAGGCAGGAGACTCGCTTGAGCCCAGGAGTTGGAGGTTGCTGTGAGCTATGATGCCACAGCACTCTACCCATGGGGACAGCTTGAGGCTCTGTCTCAAAAAAAAATGGGAGAATGAACGCCTGGCTACCCCCATCTCCAGGCAGCTTCTGTCAGGGCTGCTTACACAGGTTCACAGTGACGACCAGTGTCCATGCCTGCTTTCCTCTCAACAGCAAGGACACATTTTGTGTCTTTTTCTTTTTCCTATACCACCTTCCTCTCACAGGTCTGTCTCACAGAATTCCTGACAGGTAAGTGTGTAATACATGCTGGTTGCATGAACATATCTGGTACAATTTGACTATTTATAGCAACATGTGATTACAGGAATTTCTAATTTTTTAATATTAAAGCAATTTATTCAAAATAGAAAATGTCCAATGAACTAAAAATACACCACACCAAAAAGAGCAAATCAAAGACCAACTTACATTTCTTCCAGTGCATGGCAACCATTGAAACTTGGAAGGTCCCTTATATTATTATAAGACAAGTCCCTTAAGGCAAAAGAGATTAACAAATTAATGTTCTATCTATCAGAATACTATATTAAAAGAGCTATACTCAGAGGCACTAAAAGCAGTGCTAAGATATGGGTGAACAAGAGAATCAACTATTTTCTTCCAAAGACTTGTAAGCCTTTGCAACTCAGTGATACAAAAGGCTTAAGACTGGTAAAGCTCAAGAGCATAATTTTGCGTGTAGACAATTACGTAACATAAACATATAAATTAAATACCTAAAAATAAAATATGGAAAATATGCAAAATTTGTTTTTAGTGGTAAAGCTACGGATTTTTTTTTTAAATTATGTTTTTTCAACGTTGTTTCTGCCGTAAATAATTTCCATTGTAGCTCTTTAGTTAACAAGCTATAAGAAGAGGGATATGCTTACCTATATTTTAAAAAAATTTTATATTAGATTAAATATCAGAAGTAGTTAATTCTCAATCCCACTGCAGTGTTTCCTCAGTGGTGACCATCATGTTTAAATTTGATACTCCGCTACACCATTTAATTAGTCACATACTACCTAATAATATTTCAGTCAACAACAGACCACATATACATTGGTGGTCCCACAAGATTATACTATAGTATTTTTACTATACCTTTTCCATATTTAGATATCTTTAGCTACACAAATATTTAACCACTGTGTTATAATTGTCTACATCATTCAGTATAGTAACACACTGTGCAGGATTGTAGCCTAGGAGCAAAGGCTAGATCATATAGCCTAGGTGTGCAGCAGGCTACCTCATCTGGGTTTGTATAAGTACCCTGTGATGTTTGCACAGCGATGAAATCACTTACAGACACACTGCTCAGAACATACTCCCATCCTTAAGTGATGCATGACTGTTCTTAATCAGTGATTTGTTACTTTCTTCCTGCACTGAATACTTATTAACAACTTAGTGGTTTATTCTGGTGACTTTTTACATCCTTTATTTACTTTTAACTTCTAAGTCAGCTTCAAGTTTTTAGAAACATACATGTTCGATTCAACGTCAGCTTCAAGTTTTTAGAAAGATACATGCTTAATTCATTTTTGATTCAAGAAAGACTTAGGCTCTGCTGAGGAAAAAGAGAAGAATATGGGAGATAATGTCCCAGGGAAACTAGATGAAGGATAAGGACTCAGGAGGAGAAAAACATAAGGAAAAGCCTAGCTTGGTTTTAGTTTGTTCAAAATCAGGCAATATGTTTGATATACTAATAACACTGAAAACCTAATAAACACACATATTACCTATCCTGGAGACTGAGTAAAACACCTGCTCATTTACATGAAGGGAACAAATAAAAATAACTATATCTCAAAACCACCTTATGAAAACAATTCCTTAAACATAAAACTGAACATGTGTGAAGAACAGAAAAGGAACGTATGAGGGGAAAGAAGAATCCAACTTACAAAGTCCTAAGCATCTTTTGTTCTTGACACAAATTATTAGGTATGCTGCTTATCTTTGTACCTGTCAAGGTCCTGTGGAAAAACATTGTTCATCTAAGAAATAATTCAAGTTGAGATAGTAAACGTTACTCTCACACAGAAAAACAAATACGTAACTGCATATAGACTGGGGTCTACACATCCCACGGCCTAGTTACTACTGCCTCTAACAGGAGGCATGTGGGAAGGTAATTTCCCTCCTTACGGGCGTCACCTTCACAGTAGTACAAAAATGATGGTGAGAGGACATTAATATTATCCAGATGATGGGCCTGTTTTCCCACATGGCCCAAGAGAAAACCACTAACTCACAGTCACAGCCCGACCACAATCAGCTGCAAGTTCCGTCATCATCTTACACCCAAAACATCTGAAATCAGCTTAGCATGCTGCCCTCAAACCTTGTTTCTTTCTGTACCTTCTGGCTCAGCATGATGAAATAGTCTCTTATTCCCCTCTCTTCCCACGCTCCCATCTGCAGTCAATCACCAGTTCCTGTCATTTCATGCTCTGTCGTGCTTCGAACACCAACCCGTTCTCTGCATTTTTACTGCTTTTATGTAGATAGGGGTGAAATGATGCAGGAAGGGGTAGAGAAATCTCAGCCCATGCCATTAGTTTGGGATTAAAGGCCTGGAGCTCTCCAGTTAAATGTGTTCATTTGGTCAGGGAGATACTCCCCTGGCCCCTGGCCTTCTTCCTATTTCTAGTCTGTCTCCTCCTTACCCTCCACCACTACCTGCACAAACATTCTCATCACCTCCACCTGCCTTAACAGTCGAGTCTAAACTTATCTCAAGCTACCTACCTTATTTTTTTAACACCTCGGCACATGTAAACAATCATAAAACGTATATGGCACACTGTGGTAAGCCTCCTATGTCTAGAGACCCTAGGTGCCTCAGCCCCACCTGCTGTCTGGAGAGCTGAGGTCATCAAGATCTTCAACAAACCTGTAACTCAGTCCCAGACCACTCACTGGGAAACGCTGCTATAACCAAATGCTTAACGTTCGAGGCTTGGCATTTTAAAATCTGGTCACAAAGAATTTTCCAATTTCCCCATGCCACCCACCCCTGTCCCATTATAAACATGTAATTCTAGTTACACTCAGTTCACTCTGTACATGTATCTAAAAGCCTGGCATTTTACTCTTTATGCAGATGTTTGGCATTGTACACACATCCCTTCACATAATTATATATTAAAGGAAACATTCAAAAATAACACACTAAGTATTCTAGTTTTACTAATCCTGTCTTTCTAAATTGAAGGCCCAGCACTAGGAAACCTGATAGCATTCAGTTTTTAAATGGTCTCCCTCCTCCATGGAGCCACCTCACACTTCTGAATTCCTAAAGCACTGCTTCTAACTTGACACTTCCTCATTGCCTTACACTTTCAGTGACCTTTTCAGATCTTATCTGCATACTAGGCTGTATTTGGCAGGAAGTAACTGACCCTAAACCCACCATATTTATCTCCATGCATAATATTCACAAAGGGAGATTGGAAGAATCTCTCACCATCATCATCATCACTAAAAAGCCCTGGAACCCTCTTATCTATACCAACCCCTCCTTGAAGGGCCACACTTACAGACTCTCCAGATGGACAGTTCCAGTAAGATTGGGAAACCGTTGGACCATGCTTGCACCACGAATGACTCTTAATGAATTAACAGAGAAAAATTAATTTAAAAATTTCTCATAGGTAATATTTTCTTTCAATCTTTTTAACAGTTAGGAATTATAATAACTACTATAACTAAAAATAAAACTAGTTTCATCTCTTGAAAGTGAGAAGTGCAATGACGTGGCCAAGCATTCACATTTAAATGTAAACCATTATAAATTTTCAGAGTTGTCCTTTGGACTTGTGCCCAAGAGGAAAAAAAATTAAAAGATTTTATTTTCTGAAACTACAATAATAAATTCTTGTTTTATACATTAAAACAATTATATAAATAGTCAGGTTTGTTTTTAAATTTGCATAATACTTACAAGGAATGCAGATCAGATAAATTGTGAAATGCTGAGTTCCCCACAAAAGACAGAGGATTATCATATAAATGTCTGTAAAAATATTTACAAAAAAGGGAAAGTTTCACATTTTTACAAGCATTCTGTTCACAATGCACATATATCCAAAAGCCTGAATTTTCATTCTTTACCCAGATGTTGGCATTATACAGACATAGCTTTACATAATTACATATTAAAAGAAACTTTCAAAAATACTTACATAGTTCTTAAGAGTGGATTACCACCAAATGCTCCATCAGGGATAACAGAAATAGAATTACTATGAAATCCCCTAGAAAGACAGGAGGAAAGTATTTTAAAATGCATTACCCTCTTGTGATATAAGTCTCAAGTATCTACTGCCGTTCAGCATTATGTAAAAAACAACCAGTTACAATCACATGAAAATTTTTTTCAAAACTGTGGGGAATCTGAATTTTAAGTCCATATCACCCTTTTCAGGACCTACGTATTTCTTTTTAAACCTATGGCTTAGCCTAGTATCTATCAGTTCCCTCACATGCATTTATCTGCTGTTTCACCATCAAAGAACTTTAGATCATAAGAATCATAAGGTGTTCTAACCTCGAAATAGCTCAAACCACAGCCTGTCGTCTTTAAGCAATGGATCCTCGAAACTTAACTGATGACACACAACCCCTATTATACCACTGACACTATCTCTGTTCGTGGTAGACCCACCATCCACAATGCTTCCTCATTCTTTCCATTTATTTAAATATTTCCATTCTTCAGGTCTAGTCAAATTCTCTCCCTGTAGTGATGCCTTTTCCAATGACCCCAAGCTTCAGTGGGATCTTTTTCTGGAATGATTTATTTATCCTATCCATCCGCGTAGCCCTGATTTCTACCCAGAAACAGCTGTCTATTTCACAGGGTCTGCCTCCTCAGTGAGACTAAGACTACAAGCTCTGTAAAGGCAGAGACCACACACATCATGTCTTCTTGTGTTGCCAGCACCTAACCCTACACAGTAATGTATGCTCAAAATTATGCCAGTGGACATAATCCGATTTGTATGCGTATGCGTGTGTACGTGTGATAGACAGACACATGTAACAGGGCAAAGATGCTCTAAAAACTCATTGCTGGGGATATTAAAGCATAAAGACAACAAAATAATACTCACAGCTCTTTTAGGCTAGGAAGGGCTTTAATAGCCTGAGGAAATTCCCCCAAATTATTATAGTTCAAGTCCCTAGAAAAAATTGGGGGCAAAGATAAAAAAATATTAAACAGTGGTCACAATTTATGAGGAACTTTGGTACAGCTATATTTAGAAAACCAACTTTTCTTGATGCCAGTCTTTCTTTACCAATCCCATTGTCATTCAAAACTCCACAGAAGTACAATTGAACTTATCCCCTTTCTTAGAATACTAAGTAGAAAAAAGTCATTCTTGTATGATGTTTTTAGGTCGACAAATTTATAATGTCAAAAAATTCTCAGAGTCCTGCATTACTGATGCATTAAAGAAATAAATCATCCGAATGGTATTTCTCTCAGGAAATGCACCGTACTATAGAATTTATTGAATATCCATTTGTAAATGACAGAGTGTGAAACTGAGGTTTCTATTTGGAGTTTAGTGTGGCTTCTGAAATTCTGGAATGAGGGCAGCTGACCTAAGCCCCACCATCAGCATGAGAGAGATAAGAATAACCAGAAGGACTAGGGTGGATTCACACAACTACTGTCCTCATGCAGGCTGCATATTACTGAAAAGGTTACATTAATTAGGAGAGACATAAACCACAGCAATCTGTACTATGTACTCTTTTAGTTCCGAGAGTGTTTAAAATTTTAATTTCTCTTACTATGAAGAACATGTGGACATATGATTAGCATGACTGATTTCAGAATGACAGTACAATAATTAAAAGTCCATCTCCTTTGAGACTTACTTTGTTTTCCTTTTTTATGTAGAAGGAAAGATGGCAAATAAAACTTTGAAGAGGCTTAATTTTAAAATATTTGGAACAGGCTATATACACGGCCCAGGATCAAGAGATCTTTAATTGGTTTTATTTTTTGTTGTACTAGAAGTTACACACTTAGCAAAGGAGACCTCACTTTGGAACTATGTTCCTATGATCTTCAACTTTCAAATATCCACTGATGCTTACTATCTTATTGATGTTTAGATAGGAATGTGATTTAATGGAGTCCTAATGACCTGTAGCTTAGTCTTAGGCCACCAGGGCTGGAAGGTTTGAGCCGGGCCTGGGCCAGCTAAACAACAACAACAAGAAAAAATAGCCAGGCATTGGGCCAGGCACCTGTAGTCCACCTACTTGGGAGGCTGAGGCAAGAGAATCACTTAAACCCAGGAGTTTAAGGTTGCTGTGAGCTGTGATGCACTCTACCCAGGGTGACATAGTGAGACTGTGTCTCAAAAAAAAAAAAAAAAAAATTGGAGTCCTAAAAGAGTTGAAGTTTTATCATTAACTGAGAGCTAACAAGAAAACTCAGTCGAACAACATACTATAAACCCTAAGCATTCTGATCAAGCTTTACTCACCCATATAACACACTATAAACCCTAAGCATTCTGATCAAGCTTTACTCACCCATATAATCGGGACAGTCTCTGAATCATTCGCTACATAACAACAGCAAATATTATGTATCTTTGAATAAAAGCAATAAAGACATCTTGTATAAACTAAAACAAGAAAAGTAACGATCCTGCCCTCAACTGCACACAGCTGCATTATGTCTTTTACTTATGTAATGGTGCAGTGTGCAGCTGGAATAGCCAGAGGTCCTGCACGAATTAGCTAGTGGAAACAACAAAAGTATCATACGTAAAACGTAAAACGTAACACCTTAATTTGTTATATGTTAGCATGTGAAAGCAGATAAAGAATTCAAACCCAGTGTTTACAATGAGCAAGGGAATCAAGAGCATGGGAAAAAGAAACTATCCAGATTTTATTTCAGAAGTTTCCAAGTTTCAAAACTGCCCTACATTTAACAAAACTAACATTTTTGAAAAGGAATAAGTTTCCATAGCTTGAGCTGCTTTTAACAGGAAGGGGGGAATGGGGTTCACACGTATGTGGTACTATTAACTTAGATTAGTATTCATAACTGGGTTATTTGATGGCAAGAATTTACTCATGTATTAAAGTAAATTAATGATGAGCTGAACTCAAGACCCATGTTTTTTCCTGCTGCAAAATCATGCTATCAGTATCATAATACAATTAGCTCAAATATGTATACACTTACAAGGTCTCCAGGTTATCTAGTCCATCAAAACAGTGTTGACCCAGGCTTTTAATTTTGTTGTTATGAAGATGCCTATGGGGAGAAAAAAAAGCATCAAAATGACTTTTACATCTTCTAATAACCACTGTTATAAATGTTTTACGTGCCTAAATTGGTGTTTTGAAGGAATGCTACAGCTAAACAAGTCAACACTTGACTCTGGATAATAAATGGCATTGGGGTAGTTACCTCTGCTTTACACTGCACAGACTCACTGAACATAGAATACCAATAGAGAAAATATCTCTAGGGAAAGATGGTACCCACAGTGAAGATTAATATTCTATCTAAGTTAAAATTCTGGTTAACTCTTCTTAATTATATGAAGCAAAACTCTGACAAACTCTCCCATTGGGAAGATAAGGGGGTGGCTGCATGGAGGAAGCCACAGTTTACAACAGTGAGATTGGTAACAGATTGGAAAGGAAAGGCTGTTTACATCCAAGTTTTGAAAGATTAAAAATACACAAAAAGCTGGAACAACATGAAGTATCCCTAGAAGCTATTTCTATAAGCATCTCAAAACAATTTCGCTTATTTTAACGCTGAAAGTACAATGTCATAACACAAGCGTAGAAATGTTTTCAAATGACTTGATTTCTTATTTCTTCCCATAATTACAAATAGCCATTTATTTAGGAAGATTCAACAATTATTATCAGATGTTATTTTTTGAGTTTAATCTGGTTGTACACAGGCAGTTTCCCCAAGCACTAACTATAACAGGAGCATGCTCAGTGAGGTACTTGCATAATCATTTGTCACGAGACACCTGTTCTTGCGCCCCTTCCAATGGACACAAATAAAAGGTACTCACAGAACGACGAGGCTGGAAAGGTTGGTAAATGCAAAGTCGGGGATGCTGGAGATTTTGTTGAGAGCCAAGGTCAGCGCCTGCAGAGTCGGCAGGTTGCTAAGGGGACGCACAGGCACCTCTGTCAAGCTGTTGTCATCCAGCCACAGGTGCCGTAACTGAACAAGCCCTTCGAAACTGTCCTCCGGGACTGAAGTAATATGGTTGGCATCTAAGCGCCTGACAGAAACAGAGACAACCATGCTCAGTAACAAGTTCTAGTGACAGGAGTCAGTGAGACTCACACAACTCAGAGCCTTCCAAACAAAAAGGACTTACAAAAATGACCAAGACCATGGCATTCCTTATTTCATTAATTTCATTAGAAGTCCTCATAACATCTAATAGCGTTTCCAAGGTCAGCATATGAAAGTCCATTCTTTTCCTTCTTTGGTAACAAAGGGATGTTTCCAAATCTACACCTTTCAACTATCTGTGACTACGAAGTAACTGTATGGTAGAAAGATATACACAATTTAAAAAAAAAAAAACCTCACAAAGCTCAGTTGGAATTTTATAATTTTTTTAAATTTTTATTTCAAAATATACCTATTAAAATGAAGAAAAAAAATACAAAACTAAACTAAATTTACTTTAATGTTACTTTAAACTATGACTTGATATTAAATTTAGTCACTGGCAGCGCCTGTGGCTCAAAGGAGTAGGGTGCTGGCCCCATATGCCAGAAGTGGTGGGTTCGAACCTAGCCCCAGCCAAAAAATAAAAATTTAGTCACTACTCTGACTTGGTACAAAAGAGAAACATTAGAAAATAAGTTACAATTGTTTTTAAAGCAACAAACCATTCCAATAGATTCTCAATCATCCTTATCATCACCAAGAAAGTTAAAAAATATTATAGAAGCATCATGCACTAGCAAAGCAACCCTCCCTTCTTCTCGTAGTTGTAAATAGTTTCACAAAATTACTTTGCCAAAATTAACAGTCATTAAGAAAAAGGCTGAATTTGCCTAGGGGAAAAGTTAAGCAGCTCTTCCAATCAACGTTCTTGTGGATTTAAAGCTTCTTCCATTTTTCTAAAAATTTTGGAACTAAGAACACCTTACTAATAAGATTACTCATACTTAAAATTAAGTCCCCATCTGAAAACCTGGAAACTAAGTTCTTAAGTATTATTGTTGGCACGACCAGCCATAATTGTTGGAATAATTGCTTTTCAACACAAAGACAACCTGGTATTAAGATGGTGAAGGACAGTGGGTGCCAGGCAGATCACAACTGTCCTCACAAACCCCTTGTTGATATATGTTCATCATTTATATCCATGCCTCCCAGCCTTGGACCTTTTTTTTTGTGTGTGAAAATTGGGAAGCACAAAAAACTGATAAAAATTCAAAATGACAGTGTATTTTTGAAGAAATCGGGTTTGGCAGCTTTCGAGTTCAGGAAATTCTGAATTTTAGAGTGGTTATGTGCCTCCTGTTTCCTGATGCCTCTCCAACCTCAGTTCCTGACATAATTGTCCCTTCCCCTCCAGGCAAGTTCTGGGCCCCACTCCCAATTAACTGCACCCAGCCACAGATGTCCTTCTCTCCTCCAGAGAGGCAGAGTAGCAGGGGGTTAAGACCCTTGGTCCTGGAGTGTGTGATGGTGTCAAGATAACTGAGAGAACCTCAAAAAAGGACAGCTCAGGACACTGAGCAGCTGCCTTAAGAATCTGCCTGTAAGCACACTTTTAGACTTGTTTATTCTTTGAGCTTTCTAGAACTTACCCTGAGAAGAGACAAGTAACCTCTCTATAACAGACTGGCAAAGTAGTGGCTACAGAGCTGTTGAGAAGATTTGCTTTAATGAGTAGTTAGGAATGTGTTCAAACATACAAATACAACTCAGAACCTTGTGGAACATCCACTCTTAGAGGAGGGAGACACTAAACATGTAATCATACAATTAAGCATATAATGGAACTGAATAATTATATAACTGAGTTATACTTTAAATTTGACGCGTTCGAATGGAGCATTCCATGAGGCACCAAGGATAAAATGGTGAATGCACCAAGCGTGAGATCTGTCCTCCCAAGACCGACATTCTGGAGGGGTAGGGGGATACTTCATAAACAAATTACAAAATGATTACAGAGCACTTAAAAAGGTGATCTGAACGTAAATAGGCTCCTGAGATAAAGGCCAATGGAGCCTGAGGAAAGGAGCTCTCAGAAAGTGTGGGGTCAGGTAAAGTGTCTCTGAGAAGGTGATAATTAAATTGAGACCTGAAGAAGGAGCCAGAGACAAAGCAGGAGCTGGGCAAGGAATGTTTTAGGCAAACCAAAGAGCTAGGGCAGAGGCCCAGGAGCAGACACCAAGTGGGTGTGATCTCCCAAATCCCAGGATGTCAGAGTAGTTAGAACTCAGGAGGGGAGTGGAGGGTGTAGGGAGACAAAGTCTGGGATGCAAACAGGGTTCAGATTCCATAGGCCAGGTAGAGGGTTAGGATTGCATTTAATTTAATTTTTTAAAAATGTTTATTTCTTTTTATTTTTTGAGACAGAGTCTCACTATGTTGCCCTCGGTAAAGTACCGTGGCATCACAGCTCACAGCAACCTCAAACTTGGGCTTAAGCGATTCTCTTGCCTCAGTCTCCCAAGTAACTGGGACTACAGGAGCCTGCCACAATGCCCGGCTATTATTTGTTGCAGTTGTCATTATTTAGCTGGCCCCCGGCTAGGTCTGAATCCTCCAGCCTGTGTGTACGTGGCCGTGGCCAGCACCCTACCCACTGAGCTACGGGGTGCCACCTGGATTGTATTTTAATTACAAATTGAAGTTCCTCTCCAGTTTCTCAGTGTTACAGCAGGTGAAAAGTTCAAATAGCATATTATATCATATCAATTATAATTTATGTTCATATTCAATAAAATATTGGGAAATGCATGCCCAGATACACTTACAATGCCCTTAACTGAAATTAAGTCCCCTCTATAAAAGTGTTTGAGTAGGACATGGTAAAATAGTATAATAAGGAAAATTGCCAGAACCTTTCTTAACATAAATTCAGTTACACCCTCCCTTTATGGTCCTGCAAATTCTGTGCCATCTCCCATCAAGGAAAAATGATGGCCTTAACTTACAGCAAGATAACCAGGTGAGTTTTGAGCTAAGACAGTAGCAGAACTATGTTCTATACAAAATAATAGCAAAACATTAAATGTATAGACGCAATTTCCTCTGTACTAAAAATTTCCCCAAATTATAAAGTATCATACAAATAGGGATTAACAGGAAGAACTACAGGCTAATGAAAAACTGAAATAAGAAGTTAAATGAGGAAAAGGATTTGTGGTGACTCAAATGGTTAATCCTTATCCCTCAATTCACATGTGGGTGTGGTGACACACCCATAAAGATAAAGAGTTTGCCCTTAGACTGAGATCAGTGTTCCACGGAGAAACTGTTTCAGACTGTGGCTCTGTACCAATGCCCTACATCATTAATGTTCATCTTAACTGAAAGACCATGCAAAGACTATAATGATCCTTTCAGTAGACGGTAAAAAACATCAGATACCTCGTGAGGTAGAAAGGTTACCTGGGCCTCTTCCATAAGCTCCTGATGGCAAGAGATAAACTATTACTTTATGTTATGTCCAATGTTACTGTTATAAGGTTAATGACACAGTAACTAAATTCCCTTACTTTTTGTTTTGCAAGTGTGCTTCAAATTCTCTATTTTCAAAAGCCTATTTTACATCAGACCGAGACTCACATATTTTAAAGTTTCTTGTCTAAAATGAAATTACAGTAACAAAATAATACCAAAGGCAGGTATTTACTGCTGAAAGTTTTTGTTGTCAATAAACGCCTACCCCGTGTAATCAAAGACTCTCTTTTTTCACTTCTAACTTACCAATAAGGAAAAGATAATATGTATAAACATATTTTTAAATTATTGAAGGAAACCTAGGAAATTTGACCTCTAAGATCCTTTAATATTCCATCAGAATGTGATCTGATCTAAAGAAAAATTTCAGGGGAGCTAATTCTGACACGTCATAATTCCCCACTCAGGTAATGCTTTAACCATTTTCATGGCTTCTTGGAGGCCATGGTGCTACCTTTTTACTGGCACCAACAATTTCAGATTTTAAAGTTATCATCAAGCACACACTTGCATCAAACCACTTCTCAATTTCAATCCATCATGAACTTTGTTCCTGTCAAGCACTGTTCAAAACCACAAGGAGATCTTTCATGTAATTCAGGTCTGAAGATCTGGTTTTCAAACTGACTCAAGTGCTGATAAGACTGCTTTACACCATGACAGAATTTGAATTGTATCTAACTTCACCACTGCACCCACTATGCTAACAAACCCATGAGCATTTCCTTCTCAAATAAAACAGGCCTGACACAGAGCAGTACCTTGTGTTACTGATACATATGAAAACATCCGGATGCCTCCTGAAGCAAAAAAAAGTTTGCTGTGCCTCCGCTCCCTAGTCCATCCCAATTTGGATAATTTAAACTAAGCAATTCACTCTATATGAATGATGTGCCCAGTGTGCATTGTTTTAGATTGGGAGACCTATGATTTCTGTGAAAAACACTTCAAACCATCTATATTACCAATAAATGTCTCATGTGTTTTAATGAATTATTGACCACAAATTAGAATCCACTCGGATGTTTTCTTGGAAATCTTTCTGTTCTGAAGCTGCAAATGAGATTCTCGTCATCTCTTTTTTAGCCTTCAAACTAGACAAAATGGTCGAGTATTTTGACTCTTAAGTCTTAGGAAGTAACAATTCAGTCTGAAGATCTTGAAGTAACATGAATTCTGAAGAAACAAAAGAAAACAAGAACTATTTAAAATGTCTAATGAATTCAGGTCCGAGAGAGGTCAGAGGGTTTCCTCCACATACACCCTTCGGAGGTGAGAGAGGGCACAGCCAAATAACATGTTTGCAGAAGACACTTATTCCAACTGGTTCATTTTGAGAGTCTACCAGGACCCTACCCACTTAGCTGCAGTGAAAAACAAATCCTTACATTCCATAACTTACCATTTTAGTGAAGCGAGCTACTTAATACAGACCACTTTCAACTTTTATTTCAACTAGTAAATTAAATGGCCAACACCCTGAAGTACTCCTTGTTTATGACATTAAACACATTTTAAAGTTTAACTTTTATAGCATATATTTTATTAGTACATATTTTTATTTTCACGTTCGTTTCCCCTTAACTACCAGAATATCTAATCTAAAATCACACGGCAAGCTATCACAATTTCCTGTGATGTCTTCTTGGTACAGTTAAAAAGGGTTTTACAATGGCAAACCAATGGGACAGGGAGCTCGATCATTTTCACCCGAAGTTTTCTCACATCCATTTCTACAAAAGCTTCTATTTATAGTTATTTCAAATTACAATAAAAAACCCTAACAGAGTAGCATACAAATAGGTGATGGAGTTCAAATGAAATTTTATAATCTAGCACCTGTAATGTGATAACAGCTACATTTCTTAAATTAAGAGAGGTTCTAGGGATTTTTTTTAAAAAATACAACTTTCTGGGCCCTACTTTAAACAGAAAATAACATTACCATTAGAATACAGCCTAAGGAATCTCCATTTTAGCCATCTCCTACTAGTGATCTCATTGCAAAGCATGGTTAAAGTGCCACACTTTGAGAAATTATGCCCCAGTCCCCTGTATGCAGGATTTAGGACATGAAGTGAAGCAGTGCAATGTGTATTCATCATTCTAGTAGAAGCCAACAAAGCTCCTTGTCTTTTTTTTTTTTTTTGAGACAGAGCCTCAAGCTATCCCCTTGGGTAGAGTGCTGTGGCATCACAGCTCACAGCAATCTCCAACTCCCAGGCTCAAGCGAGTCTCCTGCCTCAGCCTCCCAAGTAGCTGGGACCATAGGCACCCACCACAACGCCTGGCTATTTTTTGGTTGCAGCCATCATTGTTGTTTTGGTGGGCCTGGGCTGGATTTGAACCCGCCACCTTAGGTGTATGTAGCTGGCACCTTAGCCATTTGAGCCACAGGCACCAAGCCAAAGCTCCTTGTCTTAAAGAATACGTTTTCTCTCTCTCTTTTCTGAAAAGTTCCTTTCACCAAATGAGGAACTATATAATCAATTTGTTCTGATTATCATTATCACCCAAAACAGAAACCTCTTTACGGCTGTTTCTTCACTGTCAGGGCACAAGACACCAGATCTACTGTACACATACAACTCTGGTTCCAAGAAGGTGCTGATCACCAGCTATGCACAAATTCATGGAAATACACCCAGGGAATACTCAGTAGCTTTCTCTTAGCCTCTAAGACAAGCAAGGAGGTAAAGAGAACCACCTCACCAAAGGACATTTTGATAACTGCACTTTTAATTTAAGATAAAAGGATAAATCTCCCCTTTCCCTAGGATCCCAGTTCTCCTAATGATTTAAGAATGAAGAAAACCAAAAAATTACTTACAAAGACTGTAAAGCACTCAGTCCTCGAATGGCTTCACTGGGTACTGTTTTCAACTGATTATTCTGGAGGGTTCTGGAAGGAAATTTGGGGTTAGTGAATAACAAGCAATGTTACCATTTTTCAGAAGAAGTCAGAGCTATTTCTTTTCAAGAAGTATTTCCAATGGCAAAGGGGCGGGGGTTGAGTGTAGCAAGCACCCAAGACAAGAGAATTATAAAATCAGGAAGCATTTGTTACAAAGCCGAAAATGAAAACTATGTTGCTACCCCAAGCCATCTCCCAACAAGGACCTGCTGGGTAATCCACATTTCCAGGTGTTGTTTCATTCCCAGGAATCAAGGCACAATAGCTAATGCTGTCTTGACCTTGGGTACTGTCAATGTTAATTGGGAGGTATAACAAGTTAACTGAGAAGTGTAATAAACCCAGTGGAATCTTTAATGCCTTTTCAAATTAAAATAAAGCAGAGGCCACAAACATGGACATTAGGTAAGGCCAATTTTACCAAGAGGACTGCAGGCCCTGAGTTCTTAGGGAACAGCAGCAATGTCCTCAAAGCATGTGGTGCCAGGTCAGAAACAGACCTTCAATCATCTAATAGGAGCCAGGTGAGACTTCAGAGGCCGAGAGGGGAGGGTCATGTGAAACCAGGAGTTTAAGTCCAGCCTGGGCAACACAGTGAGACTCCCTATCTTTATTTTTAAAAAAAAAGGTAAACAAAAATAATAAATATGAGATAATCATCTAACAGGACCTAGAGAATGGAGGCATAGATCTATACTGAAAATGAAATCCTTTTACTTTTTGCCTAAAGCCATTCTTGTCCCATTAATAAAATGACTGCCTGAAGTGAGTCATAACCACAGAATGGAAGAGGTGAAGGGCCCACCCATTTAACTGAACCAGAGAGGTCGAGGGACCTGCTGACGGTCACACAGCGAGGCAGTGGGTGAAGCAGGAGCAGTCAGTTCACCTGTTTCCTGATCTGCCACACTCCAAGCTCCTGACTTCTGCCAGGAATTTATTTCCTGATCCCTTGCTGGCTATAAAAATCACAGGCATCTCAATTCCCTTTAGCTCTAAAATGATTTCAACCTTTGGAGCTGCTGTAAGCCTTTTTCTTTTTAGGGTCAACTAATTCAAAGTTCTCATAGATATTAAGATAGGCAGAAACAAAACCCTACCAGTAAAGCTTAAATAGAATTTTAATTCAATGCATTAACCACACACACCCCTAACATTCAACTGTAACATGCCAAAGGTCAGAATACCTATTATTTAGAGTTTTAACTTTTGTTATCTAGACTCTAGGTTGCCTAAATCAACCTCTAGCCTCCCACCCAACCCATTGGCCACTCCTTAAATCTTTTAATCCTGAACTAAAAGAAACTGTGCTTAACCTAGTTCCAAGCATGTTGACTATGCAGAAAGAAAATACACAGCCAGCTGTGAAACTCTAAAATTGCATTACTTACAGAACTTTGAGTTCTTTCAACCCAGACAAGGCCTTTGGGTGGATAAAAGAAAGGTCGTTGCCAGCCAATTGTCTAGAAAAAGAAAAAAAAAAAAAGTAGCAAGAGAAAAAAAACAGTAATTCAGATTTAAAATTCAGAATTTACAAAAACCTAATCGGTGATTAAAGGTCTACATTAAACATTCTCAAGTCTATCTGACATTAAACGTGGAGTTAAACCTTTACTGCAAGGATCTCAAGATTTTTCCAATGAGATAAATGTCTCCAGGATTTTTTTTTTTTAAGTCCTGATACAATAATTTAAACAGGCACATTTTTATTCTGGTGAGGTCAAGCAAGCCAAAACACATTAAACCAAATTAAGTTTGCTATTCATGGTCCCTCTCGGCAGTTTGCGTGTTTTCTAAGGACCTCATAAATGCGGGCTACTGGTCAGCAGGCAGGAGTGTTTATACAGATCAGTGCAAACCAGTCTGTCAGGGAAGAATGCCTTTGGGAGGCAAGCTGCCCTGTTATCTCTACAGAACCAAGGGCAGCAGACCCCTGCAAAAGAGAGGCAAAAAGGAAGAGTCACTGCAAGCGAAACTTTCTAAACAAAGACCTACCAACTTTTTTAAAAGTAAGCATTTTCCCAAACACATTCCGAAGGGGAAAATTTAAGTGGGAGGGAAATAAAGAAAAGATAAGGAACCTTCAGGTCTTTTTGTACGAAGTCGGAGCACACAATGCATACAGACCCTTGGGTGTGCACACACACAGAGAGAAAAAAAAAAAAGGAAAAAAAACTGAACAGAAGACATTAGGGAGAAGCACCAGGAAGTAGGACTGAGGCTCACATACCTTGCAGACCCGTGAAGGAAGGTTTTCGAGTACGTGCTCAAAAAATGACAGTTGTGTCAACCACAGGACTCCTCCAGGTTCCTGGTTCTGTCACAGACACTCCTCTAAGCAGCTAGATTCTAAAACCATAATTTTTTTCTTTTGAACAGTCTCTTACCTTTACGTCTTAGGACCACATAGTCACCATGTCCTCCTTTAAAATTTATAATCCTTTCTTTAAAAGGTTTATTTCCAGCCAGGTGTGGTGTTCATGCCTATAATCCCAGCAGTTTGGGAGGCTCAGAAGGGTGGACTGCTTGAGCTCAGGAGTTGAGACCAGCCTGAGCAAGAGCAAGACCCCCTCTCTACTAAAAAAGAGAAAAAACTAGCTGGGCATTGAGGCAGGTACCTGTAATCCCAGCTACTTGGGAGGCTGAGGCAACAGATCACTTAAGCCTAGGCGTTTGAGGTTGCTGTGAGCAACAATCACATCATGGCATTCTACCCAGGGAGACAGAGACTCTGTCTCAAAAACTAAATTAATAAATTAGGATTTCCACTATCTTTCCTGTTCTCCCGACATCCTAAGCCTTATTCACGAATTCGTTCATTCACTAAGAAGTTTCATTCGTTCATGAACAAATAAGAGCACCTAGGACGTGCCAGACACCCAAGGTCCTCTCCTGAGACAGCAGGTTCTCCCCTCTTCCAATCTGTTCCATTTACACACCCTGATTTTAGGGACACAAGGAGGAAGGATCCTTTGTCAGCCTGAACATTTAAAAGGCATTGCAGCCTGAGGCTCTTACAGATGCACTATTGTGTCCCAGCGAAAATGCAAATGGCCCTGGGAACGGCAATATTGGATCCTTAACCAACAACACAGAAGGATGTGTGGGCTGAAGCTGGGGGCGGGGAGGGGGGTTGGGGGGACAGCCAGAGGACTCAGAAACCAAAGGGTGAGTACATGGAATTATTTATTTAATAGCATGGATAACAATGCTGGATTCTCAAGCACCATCACAAGTTTAACACAGGGTTCACACCCCTAAATTCTTCCCCCAAACCCTTCTGACTGCATACTTTGCTCCTCACAAGGCACTCTAGCACCTGACCTTACATTGTGCACCTTTGGGGGCTTCCCATAGTCCAGCCTCACAAGAGTTTACTTTATGTCATCAGCCTCAGAGCTTCTCACCTCCCAAGCGTGCACTATACTTAAAACAAGGGATTTTTTTTTTTTTTGAGACAGAGCCTCAAGCTATCCCCCTGGGTAGAGTGCCGTGGCATCACAGCTCACAGCAACCTCCAACTCCTGGGCTCAAGTGAGTCTCCTGCCTCCGCCTCCCAAGTAGCTGGGACCACAGGCGCCTGCCACAACGCCTGGCTATTTTTTGGTTCCAGCCATCATTGTTGTTTGGCGGGCCCGGGCTGGGGATTCGAACCCGCCACCTTAGGTGTATGTGGCTGGCGCCTTAGCCACTTGAGCCACAGGTGCAGAGTCAAAACAAGGGATTTTTTTAAAAAGATGGTTTTAAGGACTTTTTCGTGCTTCATTTAAAAATATTTCTCCTTGGCAAATCCTCTTGGTTCTAGACTAGTCAGCTTCACCACTACATCTTTTAAATACTTCACCTACCAACCTCATTTTTCACCCCTTAAACACCCGACTGCAATGCTACTTCCCTGGAAGGCTTTGGTTTTTACAAACACAACCTATGCAAGAACAGCTAAGAGCTCATAGTTAACCTGAGTCACAGGTTACCTTCTACTAGCTGTTTCTTGCATATTAGTGTTGAAGGCCAAGTACAGGTGCTTTCGAGAACGGGGCATGCATCTCATACTTCTGTTACCACCCTCCAACGTGCCCACTCACTAGCCAGAAGCTGCTTTCTCACAAGTTCCTCCTTGAAAACGTTCACCATTTCAACCCCATAGCTCATAGTCAGCCTTAGTGCAAGCCTGGTGCAAACAATCCTAAAGAAGCTTCCTACACCCCAGGCTCATTCATTAAATTCAACTGATAATGCTCACAGCTGTAACCAGTGTGTAAGAGGCCACGTTTTAAAAGATCAAATTGCACCATAAGGGGCACCAGAGGCCACTTCTCCCCCAGTGCCTCAAGGAGTCATGTGACTGGACGGGTCCTCCTGTGGTTGAATGACCAGTGTTAAAAAGCTAGTTTGCCAAAAAGAAAAACACTCTGAGCAGACTGAGGCTGTTACAGCATTCTTGTTACCGCAACGCAGTCTTCTTTCATCTCTAGTATTCGTTTAGAATGTTTCCTTGTACTCATGGGCTTTCCTTCAGTTCAGCCCATTGGGCTGGGCTCATGAAAAACAGTATTTTATTAAGTAACAAAGGAAGTGGCAACATGCAGGACCCCTGATTATCTTAACTAATCAACAGAAAAGACTGTTTAACCACATGAGCTAAAATATTTGCTTCCTTTCCCCAAATCTCTGCCCCTTGAATAAGCATGGGAAAACTAAAGTAACCTAACTTGAAAAAGCATTCTCTTTCTCCTCTACTTATCGTTAATATAAATGACAAAATGAGCTCTCCCCATGAGGCTTATCCCGAAACACAAGCCAACTATCTGGGGAAGTAAACACTGCTGGCGGGTGCTGGCTGGTGATAATGCCTGAGGCCCTGCACCTCTCTGATGACTTAGTTTCCTGCTGGAGCAAACACCTCATGTGCAGCCTTCAGGTCTGACTCTACCTAAGTTTACCAAGCTGCTGTGATAATGACTAATGAGCTCAGCAGCTCCGTAAAGGCCGCTGCAGCATCAGCAACTGCACCTCCAAAACCTCTTCACAGTTGGCTTATTTCATGAGCCAGTACTTCTTTTTTTTTTTTTTGAGACAGAGCCTCAAGCTATCTCCCTGGGTAGAGTGCCGTTGCATCACAGCTCACAGCAACCTCCAACTCCTGGGCTCAAGCGAGTCTCCTGCCTCTGCCTTCCAAGTAGCTGGGACCACAGGCGCCCGCCACAACGCTCGGCTATTTTTTGGTTGCAGCCATCATTGTTGTTTGGGGGCCCGGGCTGGATTTGAACCCGCCATCTTAGGTGTATGTGGCTGGTGCCTTAGCCACTTGAGCCACAGGCGCTGAGCCAAGCCAGTACTTCTTAAGAGTAAACCTAAGGGATGCCTCCATGTCTAAAAGCTCTGATCTAGAAAAGAGCAAATCAAATAAGCAACAGGGTTAGGGAGAAAGTCCCAAAATCTTTGGAAGAAAAGAAATAAGGACCCACAGCCATTTCAGGCACGGTGATAGTGATAGTTGGTACAAGGACATTCTTTCACTTCAATCTCATGACAAAAGCCCTGCTTCTCCAAGTGCCGGAGAGGTTAGGTGATTTGGCATGAGTCACATAGCTGGCAGGTGGAGGAGCCAGCATCCTGATTCTTGCCGGGCCAACTGCCTCTGGTGTGTCCCCAAGATATTAGAAAACAACTCCCAGAGAGGACAGGTCAGGCAGAATGGAGTTGGGCAAGTCTGTAGCCTTTTTTGAGTTTCCATAGCTCTCACCCAGCAGACCAAAGCTAACAAGGGAGGGACTATGCATCGGCAGCTCAGAACTGCAATTACGGAGCAATTCTCAGCAGACCAACAGTGCCATGCTGCCCACAGCCAAAAGTGACCAGCGGGAAGGGGCTGAGGACGGGATCCTGGAATGCCCAAGGGTAGGCCAAGCTCCAGACTCATTAGAACGACACTCAGGATATAGACAATTCTCTGTTGTGCTTTCTTTCTAGCAATTCCCAAGGAAAAAGGGGTGGCTGATACTAAGGAAGATTTTGTCATTAGTGGACCCCTATTAGCAAAGACCAACTACTTTCCAATATGTGCCTGGGTTTGCACTTTTGGGCCACAACCAACAGTCCTTAGCCTCTCACTACTTGAAGACCTTCTGGCTGGCCCCAGAAACCCTTTTTAATTAGTTAGTCCAATGATGCTATTTTTTTTTCTTTTTTCTCACAATATCTTTTATTATTCTTCCAATGGCTGTGAAATGCTGAAGAAAACAAAAAGATGACTGGGATGGGAACAGAGAATGAAAGGGGCATGATTTTCTGTCATAGAAAGGTGTGCAGTCCCAGGCACCATTTCTCATCTGCTCTGTGTTCAGCCCCAAAGACCATAAAAAAGGGCATCACTCTGAGAGGTTTCGATCCATCCACTTTTTACTCTTCCTGCTGTCCCCTGAGTTTAGACCCTGATCTTTTTCTCCTGGATTATTATTAT